GTGAATGGAACGGCCATGTCGAGGGTGATGAGCCACCAGAGGAAGACTTTGAGTCATACGCAGAGATCTTCTCACAAGAAGCATCGAACGATCTTGACGAGATGTGGTGTACAAAAGGGCCTTACAAGGTCATCACCATCGCGATCGTCCATTTCAACTCGTTCATGACTCATAAGGAAGAACAGAGACGCGAACTGGTGAACGCGTTCCTCAACGAGGTTCTCCCTTTTAAACCGGATGTAATAGCGGGAGATCTCAATAATATTGCGTCGAGGCTCACCTTAAAAGGTGGAGACGTTCACCCGCGAAACAGTTTGTTTTCTCTATACCTGGAGAAGAAACTTGCAGCATTCAACAAAATAGCAGGAAGGCACTCACAAGTGCGACATCTTTGCTTGAACAACTCCGACCAGCACAGACTGGCACGTGCAGATCGTCTACCGGCGGACCCGGCGAAGAAAGTTGCTGACCTTGACTGTATCAACAGTTATATCCTTGACTGGAGTAAAACGCCGCACACGGCGTCACCTAGTCCAAGAGAGGTCACACCTGCCGCCGAAAGAACATACTGGGAACGAATCTCAGATATGTGGCAGGACACGAACAACAACAGGGATATTGATATCCGTCTGTTTGTCTCAGTCAAGCAGTACTATTCAACTTTTTCTAACCTTGACCTATGGTTGAGTCCCTCTGACAAAGATTGGCACAGCCCTTTGGGCTTCACGATTCAACCAATCCTTACAAAAGGGAAACACAACCGGTCAGATGCCCAGGTCCAAAAGATCGCTGACAAGCGAAAGGCTTACAAGCAGCGTAATGCTGAATACTGGGGTTACAACGATTCATTCGTTTACTCATCCGGCAACAGCTGGTACGACAAATCGCAACCATCAGGTAGCCATCACAGATATGGAAGATTCTGGGAGTGGCCACAGCCTGAACGTCCCAGCGAGCCTGAAGGTCCTCCTCCAAGAAGGAACCAGGAATCATCGTCCTCTTCACAACAAGATCTACCAAGATCAAGGTCCAGGCCTCAAAGAACCAATATTGTTGACAAGCTCAACATGTCTTTGGAAGAGCTGGATGGACTAGAAGAAGAACCGTCACCAACAAAAAGTGACATCGAAGAACACGAAAGAGAAACATCAAACTTGATGTCCGCTCAGAGAGATGAAGAGGAACAAGAGGACGAATCCTCAAGCCGGAGGAGAAGAAGGAAGGCATCGCGTCCACCATCTGCTCCGAGCGGCAAGGCACTCAGAACAGCTGCTACAGCAGCGGGGTTGTCGGGCTGGTTCGGACACAGCAACCGAGGTGGAGCGAACGCAGAGTCTACCAAGACTGATGAAACTTCACCTCCAAACTCACTAACCAGTGAGCAGGACTTCTCCGTCTTCAGCATCGCGTGGAATGTGTTCCTGCAGCTAATGGGCTTACACTGGATGTGGAAGCAGATTACCAGGCCTCCTATCAGATGTATGGAGCGCCAACAACCAAAATCAAAAGCAGCAGCGAACCAAAGAGTTCCATTCCTCGAACCCGAGGATGAACCGCAGACGCGTGAACCTTTAGGACCCAACAGGGTCAATTCCGGAGAAACAACTGATCTGCGACCTATCTGGCATACTTCCCGAAGCGAAGTCTACCATCTCTCAGACAGCTGTTACCAGCTCAAGCAAGCAAGAGATGTTTGCAAGAAGGTGCTGTGCAAAAACTGCCTCCATGCAGTACAAGTTGCGGAGATTCGCAGGAATGATCCTTTCCAAAGAGGTGATACACGACCACGTGGCACCGAAAGAGACATTGAGCGCTTCCAGACCTACGATGATGCAAGTAACACTCCTCACATGACACAATTATTCAAGGATGCCTTGCATGCACAAATGGCCGAAGAAGCCATGCAGATTACCTATACATCGATCCCCAAGGGATCCTCGGCAAAGGCCAGAGGTACATCTGCACTCTCAAGTGCCGCATCGTCATCAGTGCCCAAGGCAATGCCACCAGGGCCTAACAAGGCAAACATATCACCTCCACCTAAGAGTCCTCCGCCAAAGGCGAAAGGAACAGTACCTTCTGATCCTCCAAGACCAAAAGGTCCTACCAGAAGAGGAGGTCAAAATCGGCGCATTCAACGAAAGGCAGCTAGAGAAGCCCACAACAGTGGACTCTGCACCTATGCAGACGCTGCACTTGACGAAGCCAATCAAGGCCAGGCAATTAACGTTACGTGCCGAAACATAGTAGCAAGACACGTCAGCTCTATCGATGCAACGGTAGAAGCAGCCGGCCAGTTTACACAACGCGTGCTACAGCACGTAGAAACATATGATGAAGAGGAACCGTGGAGCACGGAGTTCCTACCAGTCGTGGAAGTCCTATTCAGGAACTTAAGCGGCGACGAAACAACTGTCATACATGACAATCAAACGGTAACTATGCCTCTTGCGAAATACACAGACCTCCTCAGAATCGCACAAGCATTGCGAGGCTCTATCCAGAGAGACAAGGAGGAAAGAAAGGAACATCTTGACACCATCCAAGATACTCTATCCAGAGTGGAAATCCTTCTAACAGCACTGAAGGACTCAAGGACAGTCTTTAACCAATTGGTCCATTCCTCACTAGAGATAGAGCGAAGAAATAACAATCTCAAAAATGTCCTCGAGACACTCTTTGACGACCAAAGCTCTGAGGAAGACCAGTCAGAATCTGACAATGAAGAAGTCCTAACTCCTTCTGCACCACAGTACTGGAATAGCCTTTATGCCCACGCCTTGTCTCCTTCAGGAGATGAAAGTGAAAGATCATGGGCGTCCTCAGACGGACAGCTTGAAAGAAGAAGGGCTGAACGGGCAAAGGCTAAGCAGCCGCAACCGGCAAAAGCCAAGGCAACTCCAGCCAGCTCACAAGCTGCTCCAAAGGCCGAGCCAAAGGCGATAACATCCAACCATGGATATGATACTGCAGACGCCGCCTTCACCAGGGCGGAGAACAGATTACTCGGAATCTTTTCAAGTTCCGAAGAAGACCACTCAGACCCGGATGAGCCACATCCGAACGTCTACGCTCGAGCCTATGATCCAAACCTGGATCCGAATCTGAGATAAGAAAATTCTCAGAGTTTCACAATAGTGACTCACAAAGCTCTAACAAGAGCAAAGTGAAAGGCTGCATAATTCGATGTAGAAAACATCACCAGACATGATCTTGTACAGATGATCTCTCTGACCAACATGCATGAGTGTGTGTGCAAAATGAGTGGAGTGTCCTCAGCAGTGTACTTCAGTGCTATACCTAGCATAAATAATATGCTGTTTTTATCATGAGTCCAAACTCCGCAACTGTGACAGTGGGCATAATAGTATATGTGTGAATGTGCGGCCATGCTTCCGGTAAAAGAAAATTAGTGTCTGTTTGAAACCATAAACCTCTAAAGGGGTAGCTCTAACAGGTACCTACAGCAATGGCTGCATGCTCATACATATACATTCCGCTGCCCATTGGCTCACAGTGGTTTTACCATATTGAGACAAGACAAGCTCTCCTTGCGTAGCAAGACAAAACAACTACTGTCCGTGTGCAGGGCGCTGCCCTTTGATCCTTAGGGAATAACTGGTCATACACCTCCTTACAAGGAGTATCCCTTGGGGGTGTATCGGCACAGGGGGGGGGATTACCATGGGGGGGGGAGGGGGGGGGGGGGGGGCGCGGATGCTGGCACATATAGACCCCTTTAAAGGAAGCCTAATTATTGGGGTCCTTTGGACCCTGGGAATAGGTAGCTGGAGCCCTGCCGGCTCCGAGAGTTTGTGCGTCTTGTTGCTTCCCCTCAGGGTCCTAACACTTTAGGGAACCTCAAAATGTAGGATATCTGAGACCCCAAAGAGACCCAAGGGCTCTCCCTAGGAGATTCCGGACCCTCCTAAGGAGATACCTGGACCCTTAGGGTCACCGGGCTTTGGAGTATCATACTTTCATACTTTTTTGGGGGCCTGTTACTTAAAGGGAGCGAATTATGAAGCAAAAGTCTATGCATGTTTCTCCCGGGGTTACATTCAAAGCCCAGTTCAAAGCTTTGGGAAGTTTCGGGGGCTTTGGTTGCGTTGCCCAGAGGGTCCAACTGTTGATGTTAGAAATCCTGCATTACTTTAACGACCCCAGACTGTGGGAATTATGGTATATTCCTTATTATAGGTAATGCAGGATTTATACCATCAACCGAAGTACTCCCTATTATAGGACTTTTTAGGGCCTTTTTAGGTATCAAAAACCATAAAGAAGGACTGCTTGGACCCTTAGGGTTGGGAGGAAGTGCCTCCCTTGAATGTGTCCGGGCTGTGTCTCAACGGAATACCTTGAACTGCCAACACTATTTGTTGCAGGGGGCCTATAAATTCTGTATATAAGCGCTTACAATTACAACAAGGGCAACCCTAAACCCCTGAACCCCTAAACCCCTAAACCCAAGGGCCTACAAGAAAGCAGGTTGTGACTGTTCGCGGTACTGTTGTTTCTCCAGCTGCTGGAACACGCGGTTTAGGGTTTAGGGTGTTTAGTCATACTGAGATGCCAAGTTACGTGTGTCATGGGTTAGGCAGTTAGGCATGTCAAAGCTTTATCATATTTTCTGAGCCGCTCTATTATCACCCATGGAACCTATACACTTTGAAAGCCCTCATTCATCTCTAAGCCCTATAAACTCTACCTGTACCCCGAAACCCTTTAATTCAAACAGTAGGATATGGCCCCTGAACTGTAGGCTATGATCCATCAAGCAGTAGATGTTAATGCCCAGTTGATCGCAGCCCTTCAAACCCTTGAAGCCCTCAACCCTAAGCCCATAATCCCAAGCCCTAAACCCATAAACCCCAATAAAACCCTGATAAAACCTTAAAACCCAAAATCCCAAGCCCTAAACCCATAAGCCCCGAATAAAGCCCTAAACCCAAACTCCCAAGCCCTATAGTCGTCACACATGAGCCGCCATGTTCGAGGTCGGGGCGGACCCCGACGTCGCAGCCGTGGAGGTCTGCCGCAGCTCAGGGTTTAGGGTTGAGGGTTTAGGGTTTTAGGGTTTAGTTTAGGGTTCAGGGTTTAAGGTTAAGGGAAAGCCGGTGGAGAATTAGGGCCCAAAAACACTAATGGGGTTGTTGGGTTCAGACTTTGAAGTGCAGTCCATTGAATCCTCCAGCGCAGGATAGCAGCCCAATGTTAAACCGCATCGTGGGCGCAAGTATATAAGTGCGCCCTACCCAGAGGGTCCAGATACATTACCATCATGGAATTAGGTCCCAAGAGACCATCCTAATACTGGTTTTGAGGGATTTAATTCCAGAATAGTAGTATATATGGACCCTCTTGGCTACAAACCCCATACGACAGAAGCGACTTAGATGTATGGACAAGTTCTGCAGCTCCTCGAAAACAAAGCCCCAACCTAAACCCATGGTCCTCGGAACCCTAACCCCGAAACACTTAACTCATAAGACCCTTAGGGGGGTAGGCAGGAGTGGGGCAGGGGGCCTTAATACTCATAAAAAGGGCTCATAATATGGCTTCTTTTAAGGAAGCATAGCCCCCTACCCCCCTCCCCCTACCCCCCTTACATGGAGGTCGGGGGACTTAGTAAGTAGGTAGTAAGTAGACTTATAAGTACCCCAAAAGGGACCCTATTTGGGGTTATGGTACTTATAACTCCGTAAAATAACCAGTTATTAAGTCCCCCGACCCTCCAAGTAGTAGTTCCTTTTTGGGGTTCATATTTAGAGTCTTATGAGGTCATCCCAAAGAGGAACTACTATGGGGCCCATAGGTAGGGCCTATCATTTTGGGACTTCTGGGAGCTTTAGGGATACGGTTTAGGGTCTCCCCCCTACCCCACCTTAGGGTTCCTATGGTTAACGCTTTAAACCCCGAAGCTCAACACTGACGAGGCAGCCGTGGATGCCCTGGAGCTGAGAGTTCCGGCTGCAAGAGCGTGCGGCGCTTTTTCGGTATGAGTCCGGTTTAGGGTTCGGGGTTTAGGGTTTGGGGTTTAGGGGTTTGGGAGTTTAGGGGTTTGGGGTTTGGGGTTTGGGTTTGGGGTTTAGGGTTTAGGGTTTCGGGTTTGGGTTTAGGGTTTAGGGTTTCGGGTTTGGGGCTTGGGGTTTAGGGTTTCGGGTTTGAAGGGGGGTATGAGGTTTCGGGGGGGAAGAGCCCTTTACACGAGTCAGAGCAGAGGACTTGCCCAAAACCAAAAACCCCGTTGATCCAAACAGTGCCCGTATAGGCTCCATGGTAGTTCCTTCTTGGGGTTTCCTTTTAGGATTCTAAATATGAACCCCAGAAAGGCACTGCTATGGAGTCTAGGGGTAAGCCCTAACCCGAGCTTAAAGCCTGAGCCAAAAAGAAACTAACCCTGAACCCGACACCCTTCCAGGACCCTCCAACGGCCCTTTAATGGAGCCGTTATGGAGTCTATAGGCAACCTTGAGGCACCTGCACCCTCGTAGTGAGATCCCGGACCCTAGCCCCCAAAGCCGAAACCCTCCCCCAGAAAGCCCAAGACCCTCTTTGGAGCCTTAGGTAAGGCTCAATCGTGGAAACCCTAGACTTTGAAAGCCTAAACGCAACCAAGGGCCTAAACCTGACCTCTTCAACCCGAGTCCTGATCAAGGCACAAACCCTCGTGGCTCAACATAGCCCAAAAGCCTTGCATATTCGATCTTTGTGCCCAGAGCCTCAAAACAGAAGTTTTTAGGGTCTACCTGGACCCTAAGGAACCTATCTTAGGGTTCCTTAATCTAATTTCCTTGTATCAGCCCTTAAAATAGGAAGGCTCTTCGGGGTTAAGGTAAGGGAAACAGAAAGCCCCAGGTCAGCAGCCAATGGCGGCTCCGCAGTTGCTGCAATCTGCAGCGCGTGCTGGGATCAAAGCCATCCCAAGAGAAACGGCGTTTGAGGTTTAGGCTTTCGTGTTTAAGGTTTAGGTTTTGGGTTTCGGTTTACTCCTCATTCTTAAACCCGAACCCCAAAACCCAAACTTCCGGCCCTACAGCCTAGTCTCCAATCGTTTGCAACATTCTTCACACGCTTCAGATGGTGCGATGAAGATATGTCGTGGCGTGGACAGGGCGGTAAGAGAATCATTCACAGGCCTTTCGGGTTGTGGCATGGTTTTATCCAAATCCCCCGTGCACCTACAGAGCACATACTTACATGGGCAGTATATACTATGTCCCTATTGAAGGGAGCCTTTTTTTCCACTGCATCACGCGTAGCATCTCAACTAAGGCATTTTCGTTGAGGGATGGATCCTGGGAGTGGGATTCCCGCCGACAGCATCCCTTTGAGTGGACCCTCGCATTCTGCAGGTGTTTCAGGTTTACGGTTTAGGGAAGACAACCGGGCTGTCATAAAAAAGGACCATAATTAGGATTTAGGTTAGGGCTAGTTTAAGCTCCCAGAACTGCAAACGCGACGTGTGTCAAGCTGGGCTTTGGAGTACCATACTTTACTGCCCTTTTGGGACCAGTTACTTAAAGGGAACCAATTATGAAACAAAAGTCTATACTTTTCTTCCCTGGTTACTTCAACGCCCAGCAAGGAATCAATCAGAGGGCAGTTAAAAACTCTTTCCCTCCACAGGTGCTTGATTCAGGTTTCCATTCGTCAGAACAGATGCGTATCAGGGCACCATAGCATCGAGCATCACAGTGCAGTTTCATAACATCACAAAACTAGGTGACCTTATAGAGTGCATCCTAAAACCCTAGCCCTAGACCTCAAGCCCAAGCCCATATAATCTCGAAATCCGCAGTAAGCCCAAAACCCTACACCCCTAAGCCCAAAACCCAAAATCCTAAACCCTACACTCCTACATAGAACTGTAGCTGCTACGTCCGAGCATGATGGTCGCTTCTGGGATGGGCCAACACACTGGGCTCCAGCGAGGCACCTGACTACAATGCAGCGGCTCCTGTTAACATGAGATAGGGCTCCTTTAACGGTTCCTGTAAGCCTTAGTTAAGGGTCCTTAGAGCTCTAAACTGTAAACCCTACCCTGGGCCAAGGGGGTCCAAGGCCAGGGAGACCCTACCCCCTAAAGGGTCAAAGTACCCAATAATCATATGCCTCTCCCAAATAATAAGCTACAAAACTACTATCCTAAACCCAAGTACCTGATTATTGGGTCCTTCAAAGGACCCTTATGGGAACCCTAAACCCGAAACCCTAGTCATCCCTAAGGTTGAGGGGCATGATTAGGTCCTTTAAAGGACCCTTAAAACCCTACTATAGAATCCTCTAAGCCCTTAAAGAGCCCTTTAAAGGGACCCTAACTATTAGGTCCTTTGGACCCTTAGGGGTTTTCTTAAAGAGCGCGAATCCTGAAGCTCTAGGCCCCAACCCTGAGCCAAAGGGTCCAAAGTACCGCAGTAGAAAGTAGGGTCTCAATATTAGGCGTGGCCATTATGATTCTGGGAAGCATCCCCCACGACGCTACCTAGGACCCCTGCCCGGAGCCCTGAAACCTTCCGCTTCCTCTCGGGAGGCACAGGGAGATGCCGAGAAGCAGCAGAGGAGACTGGCACAAGGCTGGAAGAGAGTGGGCGACATGTAAGGTGCGGTTTAATTAGGGTTCAGGCTAAGGGTCTATACGATTGAAGACAGTTTTCCTGCATTAACAAGTAATTAAGGAATATACTATAATTCCCAGAGTCCAGGGCCATCAAGATAATGCAGGATTTAGATCATCAGCCGTGTTTAGGGTTGGCCCAGGGGGGTTCCACTGGGTCCCTTGAGGGCTTCCTTCAAGTTCACAATGTAGCCGTGGAAATATGTAGTAAAATAGTGGCCTTAATAATTAGAACAGGGTTTGGGGGCCCACTTTGGAATAATTATACATATCAGGAACCCCTAGAACGGTACTGGTCATTATTCCGGCCCCTATATTAACAGTTTTACCCATGCTACGAAACATGGACTGTGCCCTGTCCTCAAAATGGAATGCAAACATGATAGCAGCAGATGCTTCAACGTGTGTGAATGCTTCTGTCCTGGTGCAGCCCCTAAACCCTAAACTACGGTTGATGGTATAAATCCTGCATTACCCAGAATAAGGAATATACCATAATTCCATTGTTTAGGGTCCTTAAGGTAATGCAGATTTATATCATGAACCGAATTACTCCTCCTACACGGTCCTGGGTACTGTTACAGGCGATACTTCCCCAAATCAGAAGATTCGCAATGTATAAACCCTAGATCTTACAATTTATAGGTACCTAGGACCCCTTAAAGGAACCCTGAAATGGCCCTAAAATCCTGCACCCTCAAAGACACCTTAGATTTCTTTACGTACTCAGGACCCGGTGGGCCTTCGGGTACAACCATCGTGCACTGCACCCCAAAACCTTGTTCCAAGTCCGATCCTACAGCCCCTGTAACCTAAAAACCCTGAGGGTCCAAGCAGTCCTGATTTGGTACGTAAAAAGACCCCAAAAGTCCTACAATATTCAGTGCTTGGACCCTTACGTAAAAACCCCGTGAAGGCTCTGCAACTTCTGTCAGCGCTGGGACACCAGGCTTTGCAGCAGAAACCTGGCACCATAGAGCACTGAAGGAGTTGAATAACAACATGAGCAGTTTTTATTGTAGATCAGTTGACAAGTATCTATTTCCCTACATTAGGGTACCCCAAAACGAGGTCGAATTCTCAAGAGTCCTCCTACTTGCAGAGATCTGAGTGGTCTGGAGCTGTCTTGCAGTTGTTACCTTTTGGAAAGAACTCATTGCTATTGGAATGTAGAGACAACTAGGAGGGCTCCTGGACCTTTGTAATGAGATCCCGAACCCTATAGACCCCAAAACCGAAACACTCCCCCACCAGAAGGGCCAAGACGCTCTTAGGAGCCTTAGGGTAAGGGTGCAATCAGGGCCCGATGCCCTAAACCCTGAACTCCTCCGGTTACCTGGAGGCTCAGGATACCGAGCTTCTGTTTCACCGGATCCGTCAGAAGGGGCTTTTGGGTTCAGATGCATTGGAATTTTGGTATGTCTCATGAGATCAGCAGATTTAGTGAGTAGGAAATAGGTAGAAGTATGAATGAGACAGCCCCCACACTTTCGGGAACGTATGACTCGCATTAGCATCTACTTAGTAAGACCCTATGATCCCTTAGGTATGCAGGACTCCAAGAGTTTGGTTTCTCAGGGGTTTAGGGTTCGGTGAGGCTGGGGGTTCGGGGTTCGGTCATCTAGGAATGCAAAGGTGTTTGGGGCGTACGGGTTAGATCTGAATTAGGGTTTGCAGGGCTTATAAATGGGGTCTCAGGGCCTGGAGAACAAGACTCCGGGACGTGAAAGCGCCAAGCAATGCTAAATCCCACAACCCCGCCCTAAATCCTGAACCCTGAACCCGAAACAACCCCAAACTGAACTTTCGGAGTTAGCTTGTAATCTGCAATCGCATGCCTGGTTTGTCTGGGTTCTCCTGAGAAGGAATCCTTGACAAGAGAGTTCCTTGTGTAGGCCAAAGCTCAAATCCAAAGCATATGTTTTCCGAACTAAGGGGGTGGAGGGTTTCAATTTGGGTGCCATCGAACAAAGCTTTAGGTGTTGACGGGGCGCCATGAAGGCTCAGCGGTATTTAGTATTTTGTGTCCGAAGTCAGGAGATCGAAGCAAGCCACTCTACAACAAGAGCAATGTCACTGATATCTCCGTTTGAAGCCCACTTACGAAATCTGCTGCACCAACAGCAGGATCACCTAGTAGTAGAGTCGGCAACCTTTAACCTTTTCTGGGTAGTATGGCCCCTATACAATCCCTATACAACCCAAGAAGGTTAACCTTAAGTTCCCCATGATACCCGACAAGTAGGATCAGCATTGGCTCTTCCAATCATCACCCAAAACCGTCAGTCCTCCCTGTTGCCATCGCATATGCATCTGGGAGTTTCCGAAAATAGGGGACCCTAATATAGTACCCTAAATAGTAGGACCCTTATTATAAGGACCCCAAACAAGGTGCCCCCCCAAATTTTCCGAAACTCCCATCTCTATCCTCGTCACAATCTCAAGAACCGGGAAGCAGCTCCACAGTACCGCAGATGCTTCCCAGAACGTATCAGGATGATGGCATTTCGTGGGTTTCATAGATGCGCTGGTCAGCTATAGTCAAGCCACAAAGCCGAAACATGCTGGTCTTGACCATCGAGAATCAGGAGTCATGCTGAGGACAATGGTGAAGATGAGGATATGGATGAACATGCAACTGCAAATGTTGAATACGTAGGTTATATAAAGATCATGACGACGATGCTGCAAGCGTAGCACATGCCAAACGCACTCTGGGTGTGTATGTTGGGGCGGTATTGGTGGCTTCACCCACTAGCCCAGGAATGTGCGGTCGTGGACATCAGTCATCAGCGTCCTCGAGACCCTTGGCAGTGAACATGGTATATAATTATCCAGAAGGTTTCGATGTCCGTCCTTTAAATGGATTGAACTGTGTAGGTCTTGCAGTTGGGGCATTTCAAGGTTTGCATACTCTGAATACCAGGTCCGTCAGAATCGAGAAGCAGGCTGGTGGTGATGCCGCCTTTGCAATCCACATCTTGGCTCCCCAGAGAGCTTCCTAGGGCTGTGTGCAAAGGTTCTTCTCCGAGAGTTCTTACTACACATAGCAGATGCGCATATACATGTACGTGTGTATATTTTTATGCGTGTATATGTATATACATATGCATCACAACATATATATATATACAGATATATGTACATCTACATGTGTACATATACATATGTCTACAAAGATATGTACATGTACATACACACCTAATATGGATGGGTTCAGGGTCCACTCCAAGGATCATGCGACCTAGCAAGCATGTTCAGAAACAAGTCCCCTATGTCGGTAGATCTTCGAACCCTAAGCTCTAAATCCTAGACCCAAATGCAAAGCCCTGAACCTTGAAACCCTAAACCCTATAAATCCCGGACCCTATACTGGCCCTATACCCTAAGCTTCTAAACCCGAAATGCTACTTAACTACCACAACGCTTACTATGAAACCCTAAGCCCGAGACCGAAGGGAGCTAAGTACCCATACTACCCCAATTGGGGAATATTTACCGAAAACATAAAACAAACATCTATGATGCACGCCTTATCTTGGATTTTGTGGGTCGTTAGAAGTACCCAATCGGAAGTAGGATTTCTATTATGTAGCTACTTAGGACCCCTGGGGCAGTCCCAGCTCAGGAGGGGTGGTCGCTGGACCCAGGCTTTCCAGCTGCTGCAGGACATTTGCTGTCAGGATTTCGAGTTTAGGGTTTAGGGCTGGCTTAGGTTTTGTAGTAGTAGTAGTAGTAGTAGTAGTAGTAGTAGCAGTGATAGTAGTAGTAGTAGTAGTAGTCGTCGTCGTAGTAGTAGTAGTAGTAGTAGCAGCAGCAGCGAAGGTTCAGGATTCGGCATCTTAGGGCTTTGGGTCTTGACTGGTGGGCTTTAGGGGAGTAGGGTTGTAGGGTTTAGAGATTTTGTGCTTATGGTGTCGGTTGTTAGGGTCTCTTAGTAGTAGAGTAGGTAACCTTGAACCTTTTCAGCGGTACTGCATAATCCCAAAGGATAGTTCTCCTAGGACACTCGACAAGTAATTTTTGGGCTTTCAAGGTTTCAGCTTTTAGGGTTTAGGGCTTTGTGGTTTAGCGTGTAGGGTTTGGGGCCTTGGGGTAAGGTCTGGGCGGTCCTTCGAGGGTATTGTAAGTGTTCCTTATTCCAGGAATGAGTACTTACCGGGTAGTGGGGTTGAGGGTGAAGGGTTTCGGTTTAGGGGTTACTGATACTGGTGCCATAAGGGTCCTGAATCGCATCTTACGGGGTTGTACAGAGCCTAGCCGGGGTGTTTGTTTGAACTGAGAGCTTGTTTTATTATGGGTTTCAAAAAGCGACAGGGTTTTGCAGTAAGCACAGAGCCCCTGTGTATCCCATATCCGATGTAGTAATTTACAGCAGTTCGTCATTTTGACTGCATCGTATTTGCACGTTAGCTACGGTTTGTTTTGATGGAGGGTTCCGGGCCAAACTATAGACTCCACAGGTCCATGGAGCTTGTGGGAACTCACGTTTGATGTGAGGAAACTCATAGTCTTTGCCACATTCGTCATGGAAGCTTGAACCCTAAGAGTCCATGCAGCTAAATGGTTTCAAGGTACCTATATAGGCCACGTTAAGGCCGAAGTGCATTCTATTTGGGCACATGGGCCCTTAGAGGAAATTAATGAAGCTGCAGGGTTCGGGTTTTGAGTTTCTCGAGCCTAGCAGCCGTTTTTTCCGTTCCTTACTAGTGACTAGTGGTCTTCTTGCCCTACTGTTGATGGACAAAATCCTGCATTACACACTCTAAGGAATATACCATAGTTCCCATAGTTTAGAGTCCTTAGGGTCATGCAGGATTTTGTCCATCAACAGTATGGCTCAACATAGCCCAGAAGCCGTATGTAGTAACGTCTCCGGTCCCAGAAGCCATAGACTGTGAGTCCTGAGAGCGTAAGAGTTAAATACAACCGATAAAGTGTCAAGGAAGCTGCAATTGGGTTTTCCAGGGTTTAGAGTTTAGGGCTTAGGGAACGGAGTCATGCGCATAGTAGGTGCTGGTAAAGGAGCCAGCCCTAACACAAACCCTAAAGCCTAAAGCGGCGCCGAAGTAAAGCCTGCAACCCACAACTTGCAGCCAGCCTCTTTCCTTTCAGCCCGAAGCGGAGAGGCACAAAAAAGGCCCTACCCTAAGGATCCAAAGAGGGTCTTGAGCTTTCTGGTGGAGGGTTTCGGCTTTGGGGGCTAGGCTTCGGGATCTTACTGCAAGCGTCCAGGAGCCATAAGGTAAGCTCCAAAAGTCCAGAGGCCCAAAACCGTAAGCCCTGAAAGTCAAAGCCATAAAAGCCTGAACCATAGCTACTGTTCTCGGTTCCCGATAGTAGCCCCGGTCTCCATTATAAACTGGACACCGGGGGAAAGGGGTGGGCATCGCAAGCCCAAAACTAAACCCTAAACTTAAACCTTAGCCGCTATGGGGATACGAGGATCCAAGCAGCCAGCACCTCAAAGGCTCCATGTACCCATATATAGTATATACTTAGGCCTTAAAGTACCTATTTAAGGCCAAAGTATCCACTATGAAGGTACATGGAGCCTTTGGGCACAGGAGATGGAAGCACACCATATCACGGCCGACGTTGTGGCATGTACTTCCGCCATCAGCGCCTGATCTTCAATTGATGTGCCCTCAACCTGGTGGTTCTCTTTTGAAAATCAAAGGGTAAAAGGAGTGACCCTTAATAAGGACCCCTAGGCATATACCCTTAATATAGCCATTCTATACCGATTATATGGCCCATTGTAGGGTAGGGGTCCCCATTAAGGGTCCCTCCTTTTCCCTTTTTTGAAAAGCTTAGGCTTCGGGGCTTAAGTTTGGGAGAAGTACTTTGCCGGAAGAAGGGAGCATCAACTTCTGTGCCAAGGTCGAGGCAGCTAATTTTTTCAACCATGAAGCAGAAGCTGCTTGGAGCGTCGGGGGACTTAGTAAGTAGGTAGTATGTAGACTTATAAGTACCCTAAAAGAGACCCTAATTGGGTTTATGGTACTTATAAGTCCCTAAAATAACCAGTTACTAAGTCCCCCGACCCTCCAAGTGCTGACCAGTCGGAAGCCGTGGTCTTTGCTTTTCGCATCATTGAATTCTACAGTAGACTGTAGGGTTTTCACATCAGACCTTACTGTTTCTCATCTGGGGACGCATGCCCCATAACAGCCCCACAACAGCACAGTACCTAGAGGACCCTTTGGGCCCTTGCTGTAGTCTAAACCTCATGAAGCCTCGACACTTCTGGTGACAACGTGAATTTCTGTCGACCACATGATCAGGTCCTTCCTTTTCCTGTTCCCCTAATTGAGTAAACCCTAAACTCTCTAAACCCTACCGTCGCTCTGAACCCTATTCCTCCCCATAGGCCCCATAGTTATTCCTACCCATAGGCCCCGTAGTAGTTCCTTTTTGGGGTTACCTTGTAGAACTCAAAGGAACTACCATGGGGCCTATTCGTAATCTCAGACTCTTCAGATTTGATTCTTGCGGCCTTGATCGGTCGAGGTGCAGCTGCGCGTGGCCACGCGAAGGATCCGGCGATTGCGCTGCTGGCGTGGCTGCTTGACAGGGTTAGCCTTCAAGGTTTAGGGTTCAGGGTTTTGGGTTCAGAGTTTAGGGTTCAAGGTTCAGCTTTAGGGTTGAGGTTTCAGGGTTCAAGGTTCAATGTTCAGGATTCAGAGTTCAGGGTTAAGGGTTCAGGTCCCCAAGTTCCGGCGGGCTGCCACCTGTGCATTGCAATGCCGTTCCTGGATGCTAGATCCCAAAGGGATCAAGGTCAATGTCACTGTCAGTTTTTGGATACCCAGCAGTCTCTGGGACTTCTCAGATCCTGAATAGGTTTATGCGGTCTATGTTTACAAACCCCGAGGGTCCGTAGGCTCATATAATCATACATACTACCATTTTGGAATCCGGTCCAAATAGACCGTCCTTATTATGGTTTTGGGGACTTAATTCCATACTACGGTTGATGGTACAAATCCTGCATGACCCAGAATGAGGAATATACCACAATCCCCACAGTCCAGGGCCATTAAGGTACTGCAGGATTCATATCATCAACCGTAGTAGTATATGTGGACCTCAGGGCCCGAAGCATTTTGTAAGCCCTACTGTTGATGATATAAATCCTGCATTACCTTAAGGACAGTATGGTATATTCCTTATAATGGGTAATGCAGGATTTCTATCATCAACCGTCGTAGCTAATCCTAGGCTCCTTTTTAACACCTTGCAACACCCTGTAGGGCGCTTGTGAGACTTATGAGATCCTGTCAAGCCCTGGAGCCTCTAAAACCACACAAAACCTTTCTTTCAAGGGTAAAAGGAGGGACCCTTAATAAGGATCCCTAGGTATATACCCTTAAGATAGCTATAATATGCCCATTATATAGCCCCATTATAGGGACCCAGGGGTCCCCATTAAGGGTCCCTCCTTTCGCCCTTTGATTTCTGAAACCCTATGAAAGCTTTGAAGACCCTTTCATCATTGGGTCCCATATGGGACCGACAAGGCTAAGACCTTCACCCCACTTGGAGGCCCTTTTGACTTAGGGTTTAGGGTTTAGGGTTTAGGGTTTAGTAGGGTTAGTAAGGTGGGTTATGGAGTTGCTAATATGGTTTCTATGGGATACTAAGTAGACTTACTAAGTCAAAAGGGCCTCCAAGCAAACCCTGCACCTTGCCTGGACCCTCTAGAAATTGCCTTTTCAGGGATCCTTTGTTAGTTTCTCCTCATACAAGTCCAGAAAAAGTAGGTCAGTCGTGTTTAAGGTATGGAACCCTAAACCCCCAAACTCTAAACTAAAAAAACACTACCTGGACCCCGAATCACCTATCTTCTTTAAGGACTCATTTTAGGGCTTGCACAAGGATAAGGAACTGGTTTCTTAGGGTCCAGGTAACCCTCCACCTGAAACCTAAACCCTAAGCCCTGAAATCCCTAACCCCGAAACCCCTAAACCCTAAACCCTTACAGGACCCTATTGTAGAACCCTTAAAGGCATCCGTAGAAAGATCCCTTTAAAGGAACCTGAAGCCTCCATCCACGACACATTTCCAGGCTACCGGAGCGTGCTCTTGAGGCGCCAAAGGGCACCCCCAGAGACTCCAATATCCCTTTATTAAGGAATATTCCTTAAATTACAGTAGGATCCCATATATGACGTAAGGAATATTCCTTAAAATAGAGTAGGATCCCATATATGAAGGGATATTGGAGTCTCTGTGCTTTTGTTGCTGGACCTAATAGTTAGGATCCCTTTAAAGGGCTCTTTAAGGGCTTAGAGGATTCTATAGTAGGGTCTTAAGGGTCCGAAAAGAGGACCTAATCATGCCCCTCAACCTTAGGCATGACTAGAGCTTAGGGGTTTAGGGTTTAGGGGTTAGGGTTTGGGGTTTAGGGGTTTAGGGTTTAGGGGTTACCCTTACAAGGGTCCAAAGGACCTAATAATTAGGTACTTGGGTTTAGGAGAGTAGTTACGCAGCTCAGTATTTAGGAGAGTATATGATTATGGATTATTACCCTAAGGCTCAAAATGACCCAAAAGCCTTGTATAGTATGGTCTTTAGGCCCAGAAGCCCTAAAATTTGAGTCCTTAGAGCCTAAGGGTTATGTACTTGGACCCTTAGTGTTCAGGGCCCTAAACCCTGAACCCTAAACCCCAAACCCGGAATGCATTTTTTCAAGGGTCCCCTTTAAGGGTCCCTTCAAGGATTTTATTTGGGTTCTAAGGGTACTCTATCTAGAGTCTCCATTGTACTTCAGTTCCTTTTCCTGGTTAACCAGTTTCATGGTTAGGACCCTAATATACAGATTTTGGTTATACCAAAATAACCAAAAAAGAGGAACGACAATGGAGACTATGTGTACATACCAAAACCCTAAACCATAAGGTGTACTAGGTATCGATTTGGATAGCTGTTCATTTCCCTTGCTGCTGAACATAGAGCCCTAATTAGGAACAAGAATTGGCGACTGCTGAGATCGACACCCAGTGTACATCCCAAGGTCCTGCTGCTCTAAACCCTAAGCCCTAACCCTAAACCTAAGGCGTTACGGTTCGAGGTAGTGAGGGTGCAGTTTGCCCCGTGGTCCGCCCTCCTCCTCGCGCTGGCAACCCCAAGCGTGGCAAGCTTGCTGCCCGCGACTTAAGACCCCTTGGACGCTTCGGCGGGGGTCACCGACATTGCCTGCGCCTGTACGCATAGCGAGTGCCTCGCCTATTCCCCGCCTTCAGCCCAAGTCTCCCCGCAAGCGGTCTCCAAGGCCCAGATCCAAGGGCCAAGTCAAGGACAAGGGCAAGGAGCCCAAGGGCTGCCACACCCTAAACCCTAAGCCCTAACCCTTAACCTAAGCGACCTAAACCCTACCTTAAGGCTCCTGACCCTCGCAGTGAGATCCCGGACCCTAGCCCCCAAAGCCGAAACCCTCCCTCATAGAGCCCAAGACCCTCTTTGGAGCCTTAGGGTAAGCCCTAAGCCCTACTCCTCAACCCTAAACCCTGTCCCAGTATCTTAAGCCAAAATCAAAGCTGAGAACAATGCCTTTTTGTGGTTCCTTAATATGATTTCTTTATGTAAGTCCTAAAAAAGGTAGGTTATTCGGGGTTAAGCTTTGCCCTATAAGCCGAAACCCTAATCCATGAACACAAGAGGTGCTAAATCTTCTCCAGGGTTTGAAGTCCCAAAGTCGTACAGCCTGTTTACTTTCAGGATTTGCGGCCTTGACGGTCCAAGTATCGAATTATCGTGTGTTACTCTCTGCATGAAGTAGTAACCTGGATACTTGCGACCCTAAACCCAAGTACCCAATTGTTCGACCTTTTCGGCCCTTCTAAGCCCCGTTGCTAGACCGCTGTGAAACCCTACTAAACCTTATTATACGCCCGTCAAGATCCTTTTCTTTACCTTTGAGTTCCTACCCTAAGGCTCCATGTACCCTTATAGTAGATACTCAGGCCTTAAAGTACCTATATAGGGACTACTTTGGGGCTTAAGTATCTACTATAAGGGTACATGGAGCCTTAGGGCTATATATGTAACCTTGACAAGAGTCCCGCAAACCACCGATTATTGGGTCCTGACAGCACTTCGGGTTCGTAACCAGGCTTTCCCTAAGGGTCCATGTGCCCAAATACGGTTTAGGGTTTATAGGGCAAGAAATCGCACAGACTTTGGGCCCCCCCAAAAACTCGATAGGCTCAAAACTAAGGCCAGATGGTAATATAGGAGCTTGAATAATTACCAATCCTGATTACTTTGGGGGGTTCCCTACTACGAATGATACTAGACCCCAAAACCTTATTCTAAGTTTTAAGGCCAGGGTGTGTGCCATTTGGCTACCTGGGCCTGGAGGGTTTTCGAGGTGGATGTCGTGGCCTTCAACGCCGCGCTGGCGGCAACAGAGACTTGTTCTTGTAAGGCTTCCTTTAAAAGGGCCCTTTAGCGCATCCTTTTCAAAGAAGCCCTTAAAGGAACCCTTATACCGGCTCACCTTCGGGGATGTTTGGAGGTCTTACAGGATTTGTTGCTGTTTACCCGAAGAGCCCGAAGGAGCTGATAAAGTGCGTGGGTTGCGGATGCTGGTGAATTTGTTAGGTTCGTAGTTGGGAGTATGTGGGAGTTTCCGAAAATTAGAGATACCTTATTTCGGGGTCCTTCTAATATGCATGGCATTCTATTCGGGTCCCCTGTTTTCAGAAAATTCGCATGTGAGTATTAGGTACTTGGACCCTTAGAAGGCCACAGGGCAAGTTCCAGTACCCGGAGGGTTCCTTGCAAGTCTCCCAAGGGCTCCAGCTACCTAACCCCAGTAGTAGAGTAGGTAACCTTTAACCTTTTTGGGGTAGTATAGCCCCTATATAATCCCTATATAGCCAAAAATTTGAACCTTTAATTCCCCATGATACCCGATAGGTACCTGACTGGTAGGTTTCTGGGGTACCTCATAAATGGATAGTAACCTACTATTTAGGTAGGTGGAGCCCTAGGGTCGACTACAACACTAGGCTCCGTAGTAGTACCCTTTTGTCCTGTCCATTTGTAGACTTCCTTTTTGCAAGTAGAGTTGACATACCAAGAGAACTAAGAGGACATGGGGGAACCTAGAACATACCCCGCCAAGACCGGAAAGTGGGCGTCTTAAGGCCCTTAGACTAGTTAGGGAGTTCAGTGTTTTGGCTAAACCCTAGATCCCCAACCCTGAACCATATGACATGTTGTAGGGCTTTGGCTCAAGTTTTCCCATTTGTCATTCTTCGGTGTGTGTGTGTGACTTTTAAGTTTCCGGGCTCAGGCAGTTTCCGTCTAGCTCAGGGTTCAGTATACTTAGAGTGTTGGGGTCGAGGGCTTATATAGGACGGTTGTTTATTTTAGGGTGTTTGGGTTTAGACTCTTCAGGGTTCTTTGTTTGTGTGTGCTGGGTCGTCCAAGGGGGTGTGGGTCACGGCAGTTGCATACCCCAGAAGATCAAAGGGTCCTAGGTAAGGCTATAGGGGATGTTTCCGAATTCATTGTAGCCAGGACCTAGAGTGGGCCCTTATTCCTTTTTGTTAGGGTTCAGGTTCCCTATGAGCCCCTTTAAACCGAAAAGGGCACCCTTGTTATTCCCAGGTTACTCTTGGGTCTAGATAGTAACTCCAAGTCTCGAGGCTCTACACTCACACTTGGAGGGTCGGGGGACTTAGTAAGTAGGGGCTCCTTTAAAGGAGATTATAAGGGTTTCTAAAGGGCTCCAAAAGGGTACTATAGGGTTTAGGGTTCAGGGACGTAGTAAGTAGGTAGTAGGTAGACTTATAAGTACCCTCAAAGGGACCGTATTTGGGGTTATGGTACTTATAACTCCGTAAAATAACCAGTTACTAAGTCCCCCGACCCTGCAAGTAGGGACCCTCAGGGAGGTAGGAGGGTGGGGGGTAGGGGACTATACTTCCTTAAATAGCTATCCAGGTACTTACAGCAATTAAGGTGTAGGTTTTGAGAATTTACGGTTAAGTGGGTTTGGAGTTTGGGAGGTTTTTGAATTGGGGTAGGGCAACTGGGCATAACAGCTTCAGCGGGGTCTTTTGCAGTGGGCTTGCACGTGCGTCTCATGGGGCGACAAGAACCGAACCACGCCTCTACAGCTAACTCATCCCCTGACATGAGCCCCAAACCTGAAAGTTCGTTTAGGGTTTAGGGTTTAGGGTGATAGTTCTACGATATCCCCAAGCCGTGAAAAGAAACCTCGAAAGCCCCACAAACACCCCAATATAGAAGCCAGGCAGCGGGAAATACTGTTATTTCTTTGGGCTTCCTGTCGTAATTCTACTATCCTATAGTCCTATACCCCCTGAAGAAAGACATGCTGATTATTGCGGCCTCCCTTTGAGGAATGTCAGGAACCCTATTCTAATGAATTCTAACTAATAGCCCAGGCCCCCGGGAGCATCTGAAAAGTAGATCCCCTAATTTGGGGCCCTACACTACTAAGGGTACTTTATAGGAACCCCCATCAAGGGATCTACTTTTCGGATCCTCCCTAAACCCTAAACCCAAAAGCCTGGGAAGGCCCCCTAGGACTGCGTTCAATCCGTAAGCTGGGAGTGCCGAGGAGAAGAGAGGGGATTGGACCGATGCTTTGCACCCTTACTGCAATTCAAGGCTGTATTCTGGGTTTAGGGTTTAGGCTGTATTCCAGGGCTCCCGGCTCCCTTAAGGGTTGCCTGTGAGGGCTACTATAAGGGTTATACTTTAGGGGTTTAGGGTTCTTGGAGAGTTCCTTTGAAGGGCAAGTGTATTCTTATGGTTGTAAGTAAAGTCAGAATGTAGGGTTTCTGCAGTAGGACGTACTACACGGGCCTAAAGAATTACCAATGCCATTTTGGGGGTTCCTTCTTAAAAGGTATAGTATAGTGGGCCCCCAGATCCTATGCTAAGCATTGAGGCTCCTATATCATAAAAGCTGACTATAGGTCCCTTATAGTACGTCTTATCCCGTATAGACCCCTTTAAAGGAACCCTATTCGAATAATTAAGGCCCTTATATTACTACTATGATTTGGGGAGGTCTCTCCCAGAGCAGTACACGGGATCCCTTGGGGCGTGATTTCTAGGGCTGCAGGAATTCGTATGAAGAAGGCTCAGGGTTGTGGGTTTCGGTGGTGCATATACCTGGACCCTAGGTGCCCTGTATTGCCAGGGTTCCAATAATGACTTCTTTATCTCTGTCCTTAAGTCTACGTCCCAAAATGGTGCTTGTTCTGGTGTCTTAGGCTTATGAATATTATTGGGAGAGCGCTGCAAGGTTGTCTGGGGGCCTGGGTCTTAGTACTAACGGTGTAGGGTCTAGGTATTTCCGTCGGTGAACTGGGCTTTGGAGTACCATACTTTAATACTTCCCCCTGGGCATCAAAATAGCCCAGAAGCCTTATATAGTATGGTGTTTGGGCTCAAAAGCCTTAATATATGAGTCCTTAGATGCCTAGGGTTTTTGGGACCTGTTGCTTAAAGGGAACGAATTATGAAGCAAAAGTCTATACTATTTTCTCCCTGGTTACTTCAAAGCCCTTCAAAACCCTAAACCCTACATTCCAATGGGACTTATCAACCAGGATACTTCCACCCCTGTGAGGGCTCGGGGGGTCAGAGTTGATCTGCCGAAGGGCTGTGTGATTTACGGTTCAGAGTCTGCAGAGTTTAGAGCGTGGGGTTTAGGGCTTAGGGGGGTTGAGATTTTGGGTGTTAAGCTGTCGTAAGCCAAACTACTTCAGATCCTACAAACAGCTTAGGGTTCAGTGGCTTAGTTAGTAGGTTTGGTGCTCACGCTGACTCTTTGAATCCAACACCTCACCCCGAAACCCTAAACTAAACCCCAAGCCCTAAACCCCTACACCCCCAAAAAGCTGGAATGCCTGGGCTAGAGTTCACTAGGTAGACGGCACGCCCCCAATCTTACAACGCTCCATTGTAGTTCTATCAAGCCAATATACTGTAAGTCCCTTTATTTGCTAAGCCCTTCCGGCAGAAACCTCTGAACCTCCCGATACATGATATCATCGGGAACTGAGTGTCATGTTGCACCTGTTCCAGGTTATTGGGTAGTCGCTAGAATGCCAAGTCCCAGACTCCAAATCACCAACCTCCCGGGTAGTCGAGTAGGTAACCTTTAACCTTTATTGGGTAGTATAGCCCCTATATAATCCCTGTATAACCAAAAAGGTTAACCTTTAGTTCCCCATGAGTAGGCCTCCATACCACCGAAGAGCTCGCAAAGAAGAGACAAGAATCTTAGAAATCAGATGAGTTGAAATACCGTCTACCACTATGGGCTATTAGACCCTAAAGATCCCTATTAGGACCCTATTAATGGTAGATTAAGGTACGCTTAAGGCCTAATAGCCCATATAGTGGTATGTCAGGTGTTACAGACGGGGTCTGGGGGCGAGACCGAAGACCCCCAAGGCGCTCAGGAAGGACAACGAGTCCTAAATTCTCGGTCTTGCATACGTGGGAAGAGCATGACCGAAAAAGTCCTGTAGCCAGAAGCCGAAACCTAAAAGGCACCAACGAAACCCGCATACACCTGAATCTCCCTATGCTTTGAATGAGCCCCGAACCCAACCTTTAATTGAACCCCAGACGCTAGAAAGCCAAAACCCGGAGAGAGTCTCAGGAAGGCACACCTTGAAGGAACCCTCAGCACAAAAGTCGCTAAGTCTTCGGTAATTCCCAGGTGCCTCCTCCAGGAGCTGGAGGAGGAGGAGAGGGATTTGTGCGGTTTGAGCGCTTTGTGCCTCTAGGGCTTCAGGGTTGGAGGGTTTAGTTAGGGTTTCAGTGCTGAGGGTTTTGGGTTTTAGGGTTCGTCGTTTTTTGTGCTTCTTTCATGGGTGGGATGGGAGAGGGATATGCTGGTCTTGTAGACGTCTGATAGGGTGTTTCTAGGGTCTTGTGAAGCTGTTGCACAAGGGCTTTGTTCATGTCTCATAACTGCGCTTGGTTTACAGCCATTCAGGTTCAAATTTGGGAATAAACAGTGACACTGTTCCTCAGGGTTCGGTTATTATAGTCATACTACATTATAGTAATGCTCTTCAATCCTACCTTGATTCTTACAACCGTTACGTTACGTATCAGGTCTAGGGTTTTGGGCTTGTTTCCTAGGATGCAGAGTAGTGGCCGTATTCCCTTTTTGTAGTCCTAGGTTCCTTCTAAAGTTACCAAGTACCAAAAAGGGGGCCTTGTTTATTCCTAAGTTACTGGGCATCCTAGTTTCGGGGTAAAGGATGAGAAAGCTGTTTCCCCTCAAACCCTAAACCCTAAACCCTAAACCCTGAACCCTAAACCCTGAACCCTGAACGCTGAAACCCTAAACTTCAATCCCTACCCATAGGCTCCGGAGTAGCTCCTTTTTGGGGTTAACTTGTACGGTTCTGAATATGAACCCCAAAAAGGAACTACTATGGAGCCTATGGGTAAACCCCATAAACCCGAAGTGCGACACTTTAAACCTTAAATTATGAAGCATGTTTTTTTTTGTTTTTCTGTGTGTGTGCGTTTAGGGTTTAGGGTTCCGGGGTCAGAGCGTCGGGTCTAACTTTTAACGTGAAGGAGTCCTGGGCTTCAGGTCAGGGTTTACGTTAACCCCGAATATCCTACCCTCTCCCATATCTTTTAAAATGAGATCATATTCAGGAACCCTGGAACCCCAAAACGGTAGGAGTCATATTCTTATCATTCCTATGATAAAGCTCCCAAGGCTTCAAAGCTAATTATCCGAAATCAGGGCCAATGGCCCTGTTTGGGTTCTAGTTTAGTAGTAGACATACTCCCAATGTATTATATGTATATGCAGGCATTTTTATTTGCATATATATATATACATACATACATCCATACATACATACATACATACTTGTAAAGGCATATATAATATAGCTGCATGTCCATATGCATGGGTACATCTATACACATATACACGGCTTTTGTATAAACATATATGATCATATAGCCTTATAGACATCTACAAACATATTAACATACTTTCACGCATACACACATTTGACATACAAAAAACACATACACGCATACACGCTTACACGCACACACATACATATTTACATAAGCAGGTACATGGTCGATACATATACGTATGCATATTTACATACAAGTATGCATATACCTATACATATACATATCATATACGTACATATATGTATGTGTATACGCATGTACACCCGGGGTCCAACTTTACACCAGGGCCACAAAGAATTAATGGAGCCTTATTTGTGGGATTTGTTGTGGTGGTGTCTCATTTCCGAAACTGCCTCATCAGACTCGTTTGCAGTTTAAACTCGAATCGAGGCTTTGTTTACAGCGCGAGATAATTAGCTGCAGCAGTGTCGAAGGATTTAAGGGCGCAGGGTCTAATTTATGGTTATACATGCTCTACTGGTATGTAAGCAGAATTACTGTACACTCATTCACCGACTTCAAGTGCCCCACGTTCTTTCAAGCAATGTCGCTCGGGGTACAAAACAGACGGTCTCTCGGACCTTGGTGACCTTGTAAGCTTCTGGGCGTTGACGTGATCTGCTTCACATGTTGACATCATTGTCGACTTTGCTATGACTACTCACTCCTACCGGCATACATAGGCATCATCTTCGGTTTCGAGCCACTTCCTGACTTGCCTCATTTTGCAGGCACATGCCAAGCATTTGCAGCCTATCTTCGAAGTTCACAACACAACTCACAAGCCTAAACCCTAAACCCCGGGCTTAGATTCTTATTGGCACGTGCTTCTCGACAGCCGAGCAACAGCGGTGTACACGCAGTATGAATCATGCAGCCCCGGTTATGTCTTACGGTTTGGGATTTGAGGGTTCAGTTCGGGGTTTGAGGTTTTTTTTGGAGCATCCTCGCTTTTTTGAAAAATTAAAAGTCTGGGAGCACGAAACTCACTGTGTTTTCTTCTGACGCAACGTGGTTAGGTCATAATGTCAGCTGCCTGAGGGGTCAGGAAGCCCGGTAAGTCGTGAAATAGGGCTACCTTACCGACAGCTCTACTGCAATGAGATAACCGAACTAAGTCTGTCAACTTCGAAGACGATCATGAGCACGACACAAGTGCTTCAATACTCAGCAGCTGAATCCTGCCTTGGAAATAATTGGCGTTTAACAATATGCAGTCGCATTGTTTGACCGCTGCCCCGGCTCGGAAGTTTCTTGAAATTGTTCTATCGGCTGGGGACATATTTGTCTGTGCATGTGTCGACCATAAGCAGCAAAGTCCGCATGGTCTTTGAGTCGCATGGGCTGGCGGTATAGTCACCCAAGTAATCTACGAATTACGCATGCGTACCACCAACGCACAAAGAATAAACCGTCGAGCTGCAAACCAGTCACTGCGCTTGAAGAAGCCGTGCAATCCTGAGTCACAAATCCCTGTTCCAGCAAGGCAGCCCGTCATAGCACCCAACAGGCAAAGCCAGAACACACGAGTGAGTACCTAATCAACCTGATGTAAACTGAATCTTATGATGATTGTAAGTCTGAAGAAGCTTACACCTGAATCCGCAAACTTTGACTTTCCTATAAAGGCAGCCCAGCGACTGCGGGTGCAAGCTGTCCGTACACCCTATGAAAATTTCTGCTCTGTCGTGCTGTGCCATGCCGTGCCCTCCCTTCCCTGTTGTCTGGGAGGAAAAGACTGGCATGAGTTAAGGCCTAAACCCTGAAAGGAACAGGTTTGGCTGGTTCGCCGCCTTAGACGGTGTCGGGTGGGACGGAAAAAGGAAAAAACATGGCATGAGTTTAAGGCCTGGGCCCTGAAGCGGAATAACTTTGGGTGGTTGGCCGCCTTAAATGGTGTCGGGTGGGACAGAAAAAAACAAGGGAAGAAACATGGCATGAGTTAAGGCCTAAACCCTAAAGGAAATAGGTACGGTTGGCCGCTTTAGACGGTGTGGGGTGGGGCAGAATAAAGGAAAAGACTTCTATGGGAAGGTTTTGACAACTCATCGCCGCAGAACGACTCGCTCGACACGACCGTTTCGCAAGACACAACCGCCTGCGTGTCAGTCCACGGCAAACCTTAAAGTCTAAACCCCGAAGCCAAAACCCAGTAGCGAAACGAGAGCACCAGAGGAGCTCCAGGCAGATCTCATTTCCTACAACACAGCCGCTGGGCTCTGGATGACTATCCGATAAAACGGAACCCTAAGGCCGTCATTCCCAAACTCCAACTAGGATTTTGGGTTTAGGGTTCAGGGTTGTAGGTAGGGTTTAAGGTCGAGGGGTTTACGGCAAGGGAGTCAAACAGATATTAAGGCTTTCAACAGGCACACGCGCCCGGAAGACTGTTACATTTAATCTTTAGGGGTTTCGGGTTTAGTAACTTATATTTGATTTGGCTTGGCTCTTGGCAAACTGTAAAATGCTTCATGGAACACGTGTCCTTCCCTCTACCCTAAAGCCTGTCTCCACTCCGAAAGCTTCGTTGTCTTGCGGCTGATGATATCAATCCTGCATTACCTTAATGACCCTAGACTATGGCAAGTATGGTATTTTCCATATTATGGGTAATGCAGGCTTTATATCATCAACCATAATAAGCTAAGCCCTAAACTAAACCCCTGAATCCCTCTATCCTGCGCCCTTACAATTCCTATACTCCAAAGCCCTAATCGTGCCAAGAAGCCATGCAAGCAATATGCAAGCACTGTAAGAACAAGGCGAAACACGTTAAACAAGCCAAGCCTAAAACAGCAACTCCTACTAGTATCTCCTTGCAGTTCCCATACCCCCAAAACATGTCGAGGAACCCTTTCAGGGAGCCCTTTCACAAATCCTTGTTTTCAATATTAAAGCCTCTATGTTCCGCATGTTCAGATCCCAGGCCATTAGCGCCTGTGGCAAGGGCTCAGCATGGCAGGTGCCAGAGGGTTTCTGGGCAGGTTTGACATCGAAGATTGGGTTTAGGGCTTAAGGTTTACCCCACGGGTACAATGGGCCCAATAGTAACGTACGTTAGTTTAGGATAGTAATTATGTAGGTTAATATTGGGGGGAGTGTATGACTATAGGCAATTATAGGTACTTTGACCCTCTGGGTTAAGTCAGGGTTGAGCAAGATTGAGAGGGTTAAGGAGCTGAGTTTTTTAGGGTTTGGGGCCTCAAGTCGACTGTTCAGGCGGTTTACCTGCAGGCTTTGGGGTCGGGGGGCTGACGGCGTTTAGGGTTTAGGGCCGCTTGGGGTCGAGGATTGGGGATGTGAAGGAGCTCAGGCTTCGTGGTATAGGAGGGTAGTTGTCTTGTTGTGATGAAGAGAAACCTTTGCCAGTTTCGGATTCTGTCGTATCTGTGTCTACGGTTCTTGTATCTTCGGAGTAGGGTTCAGGCGGTTCAGGACTTGGTTCCGGGTTGAACAGTTGACAAGTTTCGGTCTCGACTTTCAGGCGCTAGCCTGGGGTGTACATGGTGTTACCGGGGCGGGCCTTAAGTGGGGAGTCTGCTCATGGATAGGCACATCCGACGGTTTCCCTTAGTACTTGTGAAGCAGGGTTCAGATACTTTAGATGATTGTTTCCGGGACCGGGGATTCAATATCAAGGTCTAGGTTTCTTGGGTTGAGGCTTTTGGGTGGTAGGCAGGGGCATGACGACAGGGTATGTCGTGGCCGATGCCTGTGCTTCCACCTGTTGATTGGATTTGGTTCCCAGCGTGGAGCAGGCGGTGGTCCGTGCCTGTCGTCGCAAAGCTCGCAAGCTTTTTTGGGTGCATGCTGCTTGAATATTCGTTGAGTTGGCTCCAATGCCCTGGCTGTCTGAGGTTGGGGAACACTTTGACTGTGGACGGAGAGCCGAAGTCTGTTCATAGCAGGAAGAGAATGCATGAGGAGGCTTTTGACCTGCTGAACTTGGAAGACCGTGTCTGGAGAGTGCTTTGGGTCAATTGCCTGGATGCCCAAATAGAAGGGGACGGCTATATATGAGCACAGTCAGACCCAGTGTTCCGGCCAACTCAAGGGACACATAGGATGCTTGAGTGGATCTTACAACAGTTGATGATATAAATCCGGCATTAACCATCATGAGGATTATACCATAATTCCCATAGTCTAGGGTCAGTAAGGTAATGCAGGATTTATATCATCAACCGTAATATGACTGAAAGGATCTTACCATGACCTCTGGAAGGCTCGGGCTAACGGGCCTCGCCTGACCCTAATTTAAGGGTAGCCTCAAGGCTCCTGGACCCTTGTAGTGAGATCCCGGACCCTAAAGCCGAAACCCTGCCCCAGAAAGCCGGAGCCTTAGGGTGAGGTATTTTATACTATAACCTCTAAGGCTCCTGCAGTATAGCTCATGCGTTATGGTTGAAGATTTCTGACCCGACCCTCATCCCAAGTAAAAGCCGGATACCCGAAACTCTGAACCCTTCAACCCTGATGCCCCAAGCCCGAATACCCCAACATCACAGTACCCATCAATAACCTAATACCCTAAACCGCGCAGAGGCCGCGTTGCTGCTGCTGAGGGAGGTTTCTGATAGTCGGCTCAAGGCAAGGACATGCGAGATTGAAATCGCAGGGTCAGCGCGCACATGGGGTATGGGGTTCAAGGTATATTTATGATTAATTACGAGGTAGCTATGACCATAAGATATGCCTAACCGTACATCTAACAACCCAAACAAGCACATGTGTCTGTGTGTTTGCTTGTGCGTGGCTTTTGTACGTGTATACAGGCTCAGAAGCGTTGATATAGGGGCCTAAATAATTACCTATACTATTTTGGGGGTTCCTTATTATAATCATACTATAAAGGGGCCCCAAACCCTATTCTAACTATTAAGGCCCCTATATCATAAAACCCTTATAGAGCCCTTATAGTAACCCTTATAGACCCCGTTAAAAGGAACCTATTCTGATTATTAAGGCCCCTACATGATGTCAACTGAGGTTGCTGCCATCCCAGGGTTCAGGGCTTGATTCACTGGCTTGGCTATGACTCCCTGACACTTTGCACACCCTAAGGGTCCGAAGTACCTGTATAGTAGGCTGTAGGGTGTCTATATAAGGAATTACTATTATGATTTGGGGAAGTATCCCCCATAAACGTACCTAGGAGTCGACGTGGCTAGGCTGCACCCGCGTATACAGCTCAAGCAAAGCGGCTTCAATACCCAGTTCAGCTATGCGCAGCTGAGCCAGACCGTGTGTGGAACTGTGGCCTGTTCTTGAAAGTGTCTAGTACTATAACCTTCTTAGTAGCTGAGTGCGTAGCCTTTAGCTTTTCGGGGTTTGAACAAACCTACCATAATTGAACTGCTTATAGGACTAGAATACTGAGCCCTGAAGTAATAAGGAGCCCTGTTGCTAGTCATTCAGGCTGCTATGCTGCTGTCCTTATGAAGCCTAGAGTTCTTCCTTTGGGGGCAAGCCTATTCACACCTGGTAATGTACTAGGTGTCGGGTTGGGATAACCTTTAATTCCCCTTGTTGTCTAGTATACAGCCCTTCTAAGTATAAACAATGATGGGATTGTGGAGATCGACACCTAGTATAGGTTCCTAAACGCCTAAAACTGTCATCAACATTCTTCCTAGGGCTTCCTTACTATGCTTGTATTGTGACCCGTGGACCCTATTGTAATTGTCGCGCCAACTTGTTCCGATCTAAGTAATCTAAACGCAAGACCTCGGCTTGCACGGTTCTAACAGGGTGGTTGTCAAAATTATGGTCCCTTTTTGGGTACCCCAAATAGTGGGTGCCGTGCTTTATTAGGGAACCACCATAATTGTGACAACCGCCTAAGAAGCAAGCGGTTTAAACCAAAGTATCGAGTGCCTGGAGGCTCAAACTAATGCATTCCTGAACCCTCCAACCCTAAGCCTAAGGCTCAAAATAGGCCAGAAGCCTTAGATAGTATGGCCTTTGGGCCCAAAAGCACTAAAATATGAGTCCTTAGAGCCTAAGGGTAAGCCCCAAAAAAACCCGCACCCCAAAAGCTTAAAGTCCTAAACACTCAACACCGCGTTTGGAGTTTCGGGTTTGAAACCCTAAAACCCCTTCAACGCCGAATTCCCCTCGCTTGGGCAGCTGGACCTGATATCCTACGATGCAGCGATGAGCGCATGTGTCTCGGCCGCACGTGGACTGACGCCCTTGTGCTGGGCTCTTGTTAAGGTGTTTTTTAAGTTACCGCACCACAATAAAACTCTGCAGTAAATATCGTGGTGCCTTTGCTATGGTACTTTTGATTAGATTCCTTAACAACCCAGAGACTCCAATATCCCTTAAGTACGGAATATTCCATAAATTATAGTACGATCCCTGATATAATTTAAGGAATATTCCTTAATTAAGGGATATTGGAGTTTCTGGGAAGAGCCCAGTCAGGGGCTGGAACAGGGGTCCATTCCCTAAGGGTCCATGTACCCATATAGAGATACATGAGCCCCAAAGTAACCATATATAGGGACTACATTAAGGCCAATGTATATACTATGAATACATGGACCCTTAGGGATTGCAGAAAAGGATATTGCTCAGGGGGTGGCTGGGTTTGCGTACGGGTTTCCGATTGCTTTAGAACCTTTGGCCTGGATAAGCGTTGTTGTCAAAGTTAGGGTCCCTTTTTGGGTCCCGAACATAGTACGGCACCTAGTATTTAAGGTACCCAAAAACGGACCATAATTTTTGTCAACCACCCAATAATCAGAAGAGGATTGTTGTGGAGATTCGAGTGGGCTGTTACAGGAGTTATAAGGCATAAGGGAGATGCCATTCAGTGGTGTTTCAGAGCCCCATACTGTTGATGATATAAATCCTGCATGACCCATAATAAGGAATATACCATCAATCCCATAGTTTAGGGTCCTTAAGGTCATGCAGGATTTTGTCCATCAACAGTATTATCCGGATCCTGCAGTAGGTTTGGTTTCTAGCTTGCGTTCGTATGGGTGATGTACTCAGCAGAGGGTAAGTGTTGTAGTGTCCAGTTGTGATATCAACCCGCCTTTTGAGCCTTCGTGCATCTGAACCTTACAAGCTGTCCGTTAGACCGTTCTCCAACCGACCCCCAATACCCTGCAATTCCGTGTAGAAGCCCGATTTAAACCCTTATTCGACGATTAACCTCAAGGAGCTTTTCGAACACTGGTCTGCAGTCTTTTCTGTGGACCCCTTCCCTTATAAAAAGGCTTATACTTTTGTCCCCCTGGTTGCCTCCAAGCTCAGAACACCCTGAGGTCAGACGGACAACTGGCCGCTTACACTTCTCCTCTTCGAGGAGCCTTTTTCCTAGTGTTTAGGACGTAGGACTGGGGATGTCGAGTTTGAGGTGTGGCGGTTTGGGTTTCCCAGGCCCAGTACGCGTAATCCAATAACGTAACTCATTCAACTACATGGGTTGCTTATGATGAGTTCAGGCCTGAAGCTCTGCCCTACATCTTAGGTTCGAAACCTACAAGGTATTTTCCTTGCTTACAGGGCGTTGGGTTCCCTGGTTTCGTATTTGTGTTTCGGGTCGAAGCTGCAGGGATAGAACGGGCTATAGGTTAGTGCTCTGGGTGCGGGATTCAGGTTTCAAAGTTTCGGCTTCTAGGGTCTGTGTTTAGGCTTGGAATTTTCACTTAGGGTTCAAGTTTCAGGGATGAGTCTTGCGGAGCTGTCCCAAGGCATATGTTTGTTGCTACGGGGAATCCAAAATGTAGAACTCTCAAGGTTGAAGGTGGTTCCTATCAAAGCAGGGGCCCTATAATACCCTTATACTATGAATCCCGATTAGGGTATATGTGACCGAGGCCTTTCAGGGTTCATTTCGTCCTGAAGGAGCTTGCATGCACTGAAGCATGTGAACAGCGGCAATGAAAAAATGGGAATTCGGAGAGCAACACAGTTTGCTTGTATTCCCAACGGCTCCTAAGTACCTTACGGGGAGCACTTACCCAAACCCTACGGGGATTTGGATACGATGGAAACCCTCGTTTCTACCATACCCTAAACCCTAAGCCCTAAACCCTTCTGGGTACTGAAGACCCTTTCGGGTTGCAGGTCTTTGCCGCAAGTGCGCTTAGCCATCGGAGAGTTACGCTGGGAGTCGGGGAGACGGCCTTGCGAGAGCTACTGACCAGAGGATGCCCTGATGGGCCTCACTGCAGTACGCAATGGGTCCTAGGTTAGTGTTGATATGCGGGATAACTACTTCCCCAAGTCATATTATACATATGTATATATATATATATATATATATATATATAATAGTACTTCCTAATTTAGAAACCCGACATTCTACTAATAAAAGCGGGTCTGAGGACACTACTGCCATGGAATTAGCTCTCCAGATACCATTCTAATCATGCTGTCGGTGCACGAATTCTATAATACGGTTGATGATATAAATCTTGCATTACCCATTATAAGGAATATACCATAATTCCCATAGTTTAGGGTCCTTAAGGTAATGCAGGGTTTATATCATCAACCGTAGTAATGTATGTGGACCCGCCGGGATGACAATTGAAAAGCAGGAGGCTGATGCAGCCGTGCATGTCATCCGCTTGTTGCTTGCCTGGTAGGTTGCCGCAGCTTAGGGACACAAAAGCACATAAGCATAAGCATTTCATAGGGATATCCCGACCTTATTGGGCTTCCTTATAAGGGGGTTTATATGGGATATCCCTATCCTGTCCTTTGCTTATGTGCTTTTTTGGGGCCCTAGCAGCCGTGATCTGAGCCGGTGTCCTGAGTGTAAACTATTAGGGTTTAGGGGCTAGAAATTATTAGGGTTTAGGGGCTAGAAATTATTAGGGTTTAGGGGCTCGAAATTATTAGGGTTTAGGGGCTAGAAATTCGGGTTTCGGTTTAGGTGTGGTTGCTTTTCGACGTGTGTGTTTGTGATGAAATCCTTGCTGGGCTATTTATGCTCACCGGTGGAGGTTAGGGTCTCTGGCACCGTTCTAGCAGCGCTTAGGTCCTTGGGGGCAGCAAATGCGACATACCACTCGAAACCCTAAACCCTAATTTAACTCCTTGCTGATTTGTGGGAGCTTGCCTGGCTGATAGGAGCTGCGGCAGAGCAGTGTGCAGGCGGGGCACAATGAGACCATCAGAGATGGGTTTCAGGGGGCTCTGCTATCCCTGGATGCACTCAGGGTCCACGTGCATGATCACATGGCTAGCTGTCAAAGCTAGAATCCCTTTTAGGGCACTCTTTGTAAGGGTGCCGTGCTATGTTTAGGGCCTAAACAGGGACCCTAATTTACGGAGTTGCCCCTATAATGAACTCGAAAAGGTGCTTTGGACATCGTTGGACCCTTAGGGCTCGACGTACCACAACCTGAAACCCACAAAGCTGTTACCCTACGGGTCCACGTACTCAATATTATAGGAGATTTGGGCACTTTTTTTGTTGTTCCCCAAAACCATACATGAGGACTGCTTGGACCCTGAGGCTTACAAAAACGTTACATGGACCCTCGCTCTGCCCTAGGCCTTACCTGGATCCTAAGGAACCTCCCTTTTTTGGGGGTTCCCTAATGTGACTTTTTATATAAGTCCTTAAAAGGTAGGTTCTTCAGGGTTAACGTAGGCAGAAGTTAAGCCCAGAAAGCCCCGAGCCTTCACACAGAACAAGCGTAACAGTTCAAACCAGCAGCAAGAAGCATCAACACATGCGCTGAATGGCAACCTTAAACCCTATAAACCGCTCCCACAGTGCAGTCGTCTTCTCTTGCCTCTAGAACCCTGAAAGCCTCCAACCTAAACCCTAGAACCCTAAACCCTAGAACCCAAAACCTCAAACCCAAAATCCTAGAACCTTAGAACCCTAAACCCTCAACCCTAGAACCCTAAACTGCAAACCCTAGAACGCTAATACCCTAGAACCCTAAACCCTAGAGCCCTAATACCCCAGCACCTTAAACCCTGGAACCCTTTAAAGGCCTCCTTATATATCCCCATAAACGGAACCCTAAACCCCTACCTTTCCTCTAGGTCGGCGTCATCGCCCTCAACGTCGCCGTGGGAGCCGCTGGTGTCGGCAGCCTTTGGCGGCTCGCCTTGGGCCTTTCGGCGGCAACTTCGGGGGCTTTCTAAAGGGTGTGGGGACTAAGGCTCACCAGCCGAGTGCTTAGTCGCAAGTAGGTAACCTTGAACCTTTTGGGGGCGCCACTACGGATTAAAGGTTCAGGTTTTCTGGTTTAGGGTTTGGTTTGTGGAATTTAGGGTTTCCCTTAACCCTGAAGAACCTACCTTTTAAGGACTTATATAAAGAAATCATATTAGGGAACCCTAACAAAAAGTAGGTTCCTTAGGGTCCAGGGAGGGAAAATAGGGTTTTGGGTTGCCAGAGCTTCTGGATGTTTGAAGATTTTTAGGGAGTAGGGGTTAGGGGTTAGGATTGCTAAATGGTGTGAGGATTAGGGATTCAGGCGTTTAGGCGCAGAAGTTTCGGGGGATTTAGAGTTCAGGTCAGGATTTTTGGTTACTACCCTATTGCCCCTTTTAGTTGGCGGCCTCCGTATTGAAACTGGGTGTTAGGAAAAAGGGTGCCCTCAGATTTCTGGAGATACGGAGGAGCCTAGTTTAAACGGCTGCAGGATTAGTTTTCTCGGCCCCCCTCCAACTGCTTCTTTGTATTATACAGCCTTCCTGATGGCCAACCGCCCGAGTTAGAAAATCCTGAAGAAATCCCCAAATAACTTTTGCTGTAGAGCAGTGCAGGAATTTGTCCATCAGCTGGAGTCCCAGTGGCCAGCAGCCCCGACATTTTCGGACCTGAATCGGCAAGACCTTCATGTAGGGGCCTTGATCGTTGGAATAGGTGGTTTTTTGGGTATATAGTACACACATACAGTAGATTTACGGCCGCCGTAAGAGTTGCGCGTGGCTTCCCAACCCAACAATACAAGGGCCTTACATTATCTAGGACCCAGAGTAGGCCCTTATTCCTTTTTTTAGGGTTCAGGTTCCCTTATAAGCCCCTTTAAACCAAAAAGGGCATCCTTTTTATGCCTGGGTTACTCTTGGGTCTAGTTATATTGCGAATGAGTAATTCTGGGGCTTATTTTGTATGTCTCTATCTGTTGCGTTTTGGGATATTGGTTTCTCTCGTCAGGACCTCCAAAAAAGAGATGTGTCCACCTTTTAAGGGCAGTAGAGCGTAGCTTAGATTATAGGAGCCTAGATAACTGCACGGTGGGATGTTGTACCTTTCCTCGGACACATTTGAAAGACTGCATGCACCACAACCCAGCATCATACCACACAGGTCCCTGGCTCTTAGGGCTATTTACCGTCAATCCCCACAAGGACTGATTGAGGAGTACCAAATCGCTGGGTTGCATCCGACGGGGATCACCTTCAATGCTGCGCCCGGGCCAGAAGATTCCGGGGAGCCATAGGCCTATATACCTGTATCCGAGAAGACCTATCTATTGAGGGTTCCTTATCATGGTTTTTGTTGTATAGTTCCTTCAGGTATGTCGTTAACTAGGGTCATAGGTAAACCCTATAAGCCCTAACCTACATAGGACTCTGTACCCGGAGCCTAAGCCAGGAAGTTAACGGTTTGGTGCTCGCGCACTGGAGCGTAGGTTTGGGGATCTTACCGTCAGGGTCCAAAGGACCCAATAATTATAGGTACTCGGGTTTAGGGTTTAGGGTCCGAAGGACCCAATGATTAGGTACGGTTGTGCCGTCGTAGCCTTATGCCAGTAGTTCACCCTACGTAAAACCTAAAACGTCTCGGGGTCTCCAGATTAAGGCTGAATCATGGGCAATCGGGGATCCTTGAAATCCCGGCGGGAATTCGGAGTAACCCAGTGTTGCTTTATTTTATGATACTGGATAATTATGTGACATGTAGGTCTGGAGGCCTTCAGATAGAACATGTCCGCAGTGTGCACTGGCACCCCAAACCGCGAGACTTTAGACAACTCTGCTCCGTGCAGTCTGAGCACATAGGAGTTGTATCTGGTGCAACATACCCCCAAACCCGCATCACCTCGTAGACAGCACATGTAAGTTACATCAGGCCGGAAAGTAGTTGTCTCGGCCCTATGATAGGCTTTCTCACCCCCGTATGCGGATGATGTAGTATAATCATAGAAACCGCTTGAAATCTTGTCCCATGCTAGTTTCACGTGCCACGACTCACATTGTTTGTAGGATCCATGTTGGCACCCGGCGAAAATGGGTTGGGCTATGGTATTCCGAGGTGCTTCTTCAGCCTTCGACCAAATCCCGCCTGATTTTTGCGGTTTTGCATTCAGCCAGACAGACGAACAAGAAAATCACGCCATTATGAAACCAGTGTCAAGGCTCTGCTAGAAGCCTAAACTCCCCCTAAAGCCCTAAAGCCCCACTTATTCTGAACCCTAGACTTTAAACCCAGAACTCCAGACCGTAAACCTAAGGCCACAAACCTTAAGCCTGAAACCCGAAACCCTAAACCCCAAGTCCTGAAGCCCCACTCTTGAACCAGAGCCTCCAACCTGAAAGTCTTAGGATGAAGCCCCCTACGGTTGATGATAAAAATCCTGCATGGCCCATTATAAGGAATATACCATAATATCCATAGTTTAGGGCCCTTTGTAAGGTAATGCAAGAGTTGCATCATCAACCGTAGTATGGGCCCTTTAGCTTGGGATCCTTATATGCCTCAGACTGTTAGGATCCTCCAGACTAGACGTCTTGACATTTCTTGACACAAGGCTTCTGGAGGAACGCCTAGGATACTCAAGGTAGTATACCCATTTTGTACGCGTAAAGCGTCCCTTAAAAGGTCTAAAGGCCCCCATACTGGGGCCCCATACGTCTGACCTTCGAGAAAGGGCCCCCCTCTCTTGCCTAGTCGCAAGTAACCACTACTAAGTAGGCAACCTTTAACCCTCTTTTGGGTAGTATCGTCCCTATATAACCCCTATATAACCAAAAAGGTTAACCTTTAGGTCCCCATGATACCCGACAACTAGGCTTGTTCAGTCTCTAAGGCCATGGGGGCATTGGCGAAGCTGGGCCTTGACACGTAGCTCTAACATAAACAGAAGCTGAAAAAATACAGCGGTTTTTGTATGTTTTCCAAAGGGTTCCTTAGTATAAGTATATTATACTTTAAAGAAACCTCAAACCAGGTTCTGGTTATTAAGGCCCCTACATTATGGTCATCAGGGTTCCTTGAAATTAAAGGTTTGTTTCGTGCTTGCCGGTGGTATAAGGGTTCTTTGAAGGGTTTTTGTCAAGGGTTGCAGAAGGGTTCGTTTACGTATTTTTTCCAGGGTTGTACAAGGTTCTTTGAAGGGCCCTCACGGTGTGTACAAGCTTTTCCGGTTTTAATTGAGAATGTAAGGGTTCGTTCAAGGGTGCTTTGGTTGTATAAGTTTTTAGGCGGGTTCTTTTGAGGGTTCGTAAGGGGTTTGCATAAAGGTTCTTTTTAAGGTGTTGTTGTATAATCATGTTTCCTTTGAGGGTTGTAAAAGGGTTACTTGAAGGATCCAGAGAAGTGCCTTGAAAGACAAAAGAGTGCATTCAGTTCATTGAATCCCAAAATTGCGGGTGATGTGAAGTGGGAGGTCACTAGGTTGGGGGGGGTCCAAAGGACCCAATAGTTAGGTACTTGGGTTTAGGATAGTAGTTATGTAGCCCAATACGTAGGAGAGTATATGATTATTGGGCACTTGGACCCTTAGGGTTTGGGTTAGTGAGCCTTAGGTTTGAGGACACTTGGGGGTATAAGCCCTATGAGAGCTTAGGGTTCATAAATCCTAGCAGAAGGGGATCTCACGCGCCTTGGGGTTGCAAATGAGGAAGGCTGACCAGTGGCAGCTGGCCTTGTCGGTGCTCATGCATCGCGAATGCAGTTGGCAGCATTGTGAGGGTGAGGAATTGGAGGTCAGGGTTTAGGGTTTAGGGTTCAAAGGCTTTGTTGGGTTTGGGGTTTAGGGTTCAGGGTTTAGGGTTTAGGGTTTATAAGGCTCAAAGGCTTTAGGGGTGTAGGGCTTTGGGGATTTCGGCTTTTGGCGGCTAGGGGTTTAGGATTTAAGCTAAACCCTAAACCGCTTTGGAGCTTTTGGGGGTGGTTTGAAGTTTACGTAGGGCTTAGGGTTTAGGGTTTAGGGTTTAGGGTTTAGGGTTTAGGGCTGAGTCTGCCAGGGTTTCATGGTGTACAGTTTCGCAGAATGCTACAGGGGCCTGAGGCGGCCTGAGTAACTACCAATGCTGTTTTGGGTGCTCCTTATACTACATTTACATCATCATCTATCCCAATACCCTTTTCTAAGCCTACGGCTCAAAATAGCCCAAAAGCCTTATACTTGTACGGTATGGTCTTTGGGCCCAAATGTCGAAAGCCTTAAAATATGAGTCCTTAGAACCTCGATATTAAGTCTTCTTTCAATACAGTGTTAGTAACCTACTAGTGTAGGAACCTGATTTAGAAATCCGGGGCCGATGACACCAAAATAGTAGGGTTGATATAAAAGCCCAAGATTTCTTGATCACGTTCCTACATTATTTAGGTAACTGGAGCCCTCGGCGTTGCTATGAAACTCATCTACAGCAGAACGTTTCCAAGCGTGAGTTTCGGATGATTTCTGGGAGAAGGTTTCCCCAGAGGGCCGGTCACTGGCACAGAGAACATTCAAGCAAGAGGAGTTGCCCACACAAGATAATCTTACCTTTGGTTAGTTTAGGGCTTAGGGGTTCCTTTAAGGGATCTTTTGGGATCCTTTCAGCGTTCCGTTCGGGTACCTTTGGTTAGTAGGGAATGGAAGCATCGTAGGTCGTATCAGTAGTGGTAGTAGTAGTAGTAGTAGCAGCAGCAGCAGTAGTAGTAGCAGCAGTAGTAGTAGTAGTAGTGATAATTGTACCCCATTCCCCCATTCCCAACTAACCAAAGGTACGTACTTGGTGACAGTGCTGGTTGCTCTGGAAACATGCCTCAGTCTGCAGTGTTCGGGGATATAGGGCCACCGGGGTTTAGGGGGTGTAGGGTTCTGGATCTTGGGCAGAGGTGGAAACCCAGTTGCCTACAGGCCCAAAGGGTCCGATGTACCTACATAGTCGAGTGTATGAGGTTTCTATAGTAGAAAGCACTATAATGGTTTAGGGAAGTATCCCCCATAACAGTACATAGGACCCGTTGGGAGACCGGGTTTGAGTTAAAGAGGAGATAGCCTCTAATAAAACACGCTTGGCAGATCCAGGGAGCAATGGGTCCTTCATTAACCTCATTAAGGATCTCACTCTCTAGAATTGACGAGATCATGCTTATTCAAGAAGAACTCGGGGCTGTGGGGACTTCCTCCTGCCTTGAGGGCGCCTTTCATGCAACTACTTGGAGGATGGGGGCACTTAGCATGTAGGTAACAAGTAGACTTATAGGATACTTATAGTCCCCCAACCCTGCAACTACCGGACCAGGCAAATGCGCCGCCAAGCCGTCGAGCGGACTGTTGTTAGCAGCTTGCCGGCTATCGGTGAAGGACAAAGGGGACGTAGAGATTTGGGGTGAAATGTACTTAGACTTCCGGTTTGTCAACCTCCAGAAGTGGCAGAGCCTAATTACTTCTCCTGAGCCACCCAGCAGAGCCTCTTTATCCTCAGAGGAGACAAGCATTCCGTCGCTTGTATCATCTTCTTTTGTGCTGCGGCGTAGGATTCAGTGTCCGCGCTGGAAGGTGTTGGGTCCTATACTGAAGCCAAACTCTGTGGGCAGAAAAGGCTCACAAAAGAGATGCCAGCCGGATGTCCTGATACCCGCATTTCCAAGGCTATGGCACCGCCATCAACGCTGTTGCCACTCAGGTGCCACAATTACTTTCAACCTTCTGACTCTGTCGTCGACATTTTTGACTGCCTCAACTGTTTTGCAGGTGTATTGAATTTGTTTTTTTCGAGTTCAGGGTTGATTTCCACAGACTGACACACCCATTTTGGAGTACCCGAGTTCATGGTCGGTATAGTGCACATTCCTGACCACTTTTCGGCGGCCTCTGCAGCTTGCGCTTACGTCGGTAAGGTTTGCGGCTCTGGCTTTCGGGAAGATGTGGGTGCATGTGCATCTAATATCCTGTAACCCAAAGGGTCCTATGTACCGATATAGTAGAATATAGGGTTTCCATGTTTGGCATTACTATTATGAGTTAGGGAAGTATCCCCCCATAACAGTGCATAGGACTCTTTGGGTATTTCAACCGATGGTAAACTCTTTCCGGTACATCCCAACAAAGACCGTCACGGGAGCCCTAAACCCTAATTAACCTCCTAAACCAGAAAGGATCTGTAAGGGAGCCCCTCACAGGACCTCTTGAAGCACGGGTGTCGCGAGCTTGAGAGTTAATTGTTTAGGGTTTAATTGTCTTCTATCTGCAGGAACTGGGTGTTTTGAGTTCGATGAGTTTACTTCAGAAGTTGTATACAAGCCCCTACACTTACGTTCTGGGCCCAAGGATCATGTAGATCGTAGATTGTTCAGGGCTCTGTCGGGACCCTAAGCAATAAATCCTAAAACCCTAAACCCTAAACCCATAAATCTCAAAAACCCTACACCCTAAACCCTATAAACCTTAAACCCAAAAATCTTAAAACCCTATAAACCATAAATCCTGCAATGCGTCTTGCCTCCAAGCTTCAGGGAGGCCCTAAACAATAAACCCCAATCTTTCCCTAAACAATAAATCTTAAAACCTTAAACCCTAAACCATAAAGCCTTGAACCCTGAACCTGCAATGTGTCTTGCCTCCACGCTTCTACTAAACCCTTTATAGACGTTAAACCCATAAATCCTAAAACCCTGAACCTGCCTCCACGCTTCAGGGAGCATGGCACTTGGCCCTGCACTTGCTGTCGGACTTCGAGCTGCACGCCATGCACCTGGGCTTTTGCAGTGGCAAAGCTTTGTTCCCAATACATGGGCCTTAATATTTAGACTAGGGTTTGGAGGTATATTGTTATACTTATAACAAGGAACCACCAAAATGGTATAGGTAAGTATTGAGGCCCCTATCTTAAACCCTAAACCCTATTACACGTGTACTGTTCTGTGGGTTCAGGGTTCGGGCAGCCCCCACAAACCCGAAACCCAGCGCAAAACCCCCGAGTTTTACAGCCCCGGTACGTGTACCACCCTAACTTCAGAGTCTCAATCAGGGTCCAAGCAGTCCTTATGAATGGTTTGTAATAATAAAGAGGCCAAAAGTCCCACAATGCAGAGTACTTGGACCCTTAGGGAAACCATTAAAGTCATCAAGTATGAAAAGCCTTCAGTCCTTAATACCGCTTGCCCAGCCATTATGACTGTAAGTCGCTCAAGGTCAAGTTTCACGTAGTGTTCCCGCATCATAAACCCCATCAGGGTCCATGAGCCTAAGTAGTATAAACTTTGGCCTTACAGTGATGTTCAGGTACGAAAGTCTGTACTATTTGGGCACGTGGACCCTTAGGGAAAGCTTTAGGTGCCTCGCTGGCCGTGTCTTTGCGCAGAATGTTGGGATGTGAGATGGAAGGTCCAAAGCTCCTCGTGTCCCAAAAGGTCCTAGGCACTGTTATGGGACATACATGCCCAAACCATAACAGTAATTCCTAGTATGGAAACCCTACATTCTATCGACTTGCTGTATATTGTGCAGTAAACCTTTCTGTGACCCTCGGTTGACTTCTCAAGTAGGCATAGTAAGTTGCTGGGATAATGTATATATCAAATGAAGACTACAGAAAGAAGGCTTACTGCTTCAAGTCGAAATCAACTCCGAATAAGTCGCAAACCACGACTCCCAAGCCGTGGGCTTGCAATCGTAAGCATGCCTTCTGGGTAATTTCTCTTACCACTGATGTCCTAGCATGTCCCAATACGCTTCGCAACAACGCAAGTTTTGGAGGACAGTGATAATGCAGAGGTCTGAGAAGTTGGTTGCAATATTCCGTTCGTTTTCATACTTCCCTAATGCATTTGCCATTGCCCCCCCCCCCCCCCCCCCCCCCCCCCCCTTACAAAAACTAGCGTCCCAGTCTAGAGGTGCTAGTAGCCGCGGTTCCATATCATAATGTCATCCGGGCCTCACGCGCCTTCTACGGCAGACCCCCCCCCGCGAGCACAAATGTCACAAATTAAACATGTGTATACAATGATTCGCTGTTGCTTTCCTTGGGGGCTTACCACCTTAAGGCTCAAAGAAACCCTAAAGACCTGAATAAGCCTTCATTGCTTAGTGCGGTATTGTCTGACTAAAACTCTCTTACTAACTAGACTTTCTTCGATTCTTGGGGTAAGCTCAAGCCCATGGCAATGAGGCAGCGGAGTGTGATCGCCGGGAATGCAGCGATTAGTGCACTTGGGCTGCAGCCAGCTGAGCTACTCTCTCTCTCTTTCCCTCTTTCTCTCTCTCTCTCTCTCTCTCTCTCTCTCTCTCTGTAGTTGCCGCTCTCTCTCTCTCTCTCTCTCTCTCTCTCTCTTTTTCTCTCTTTCTCTCTCTTTCTCTCTCTCCTCTCGCTCTCTGTTTAAAAAATGAGAAGTAGGAACAAACACAGCCTGTACGTTTATGTGTATACTAGATCAACCCTCAGCCTCAAACACGCGGACCGTAGTTTAGGGTCTAGGCTTTCTGGCTGTGTTGCTAGCACATACATGCTGGCATCAAGATCCTAAGGCAGGCTACACCAAGCGTAGCCTGTAAACCTTGTGCGGATTTCATAGGAAAAGGCCTTGCAAGAAATCAACAACCCCAACATCGAAATATGAAGGTTAAGTTAAGACAAAAAGGAAGCTGCCCGTCCCTGAGCCCAATACCTAATCCTAGTAGTTGAGTAGGGAACCTTTAGCCGTTTTTGAGTAGCATAGTCCCTATATTATACCTATATAACCAAAAAGATTAACCTTTAGTTCCCCATGATACCCGACAAGTAGGGAAAAAATGTGGTCCTTTTTGGGGTCACGAATTTAGTCAAAAGGGACCCTAATTTTGACAACCACCCAGTTATTGAGTCCTTTGAACAAACGCCTTCGACTGCCCGAGGCCTGTGACAAGGGGGTGCAATGGTCTTGGGCACTTCGCTCCTCGGATTTAAACTTACCTTTGGTTAGTGGTGAATGGAAGAAGGGTAGTAATAATGGTTGTATTTGTACCCCATTCCTCCATTCCCTACTAACCAAAGGTAAGAAAAAGGAGGAGTTTTGTATTTGGGCTTGAAGAGGTTAAGGCTTCAAATGTTCTATAAGGGTTGAGGGTTCAAAGTTTTTTTGGTTTCATGGTTCTTCCAGGGTGATTTTGGTTTCCAGGTTCTATGTTGGATTTGACAAGAGCCTTGTGCCCTTGTGGTCCTCAGTACAGTGTAAACTGTTCAAGATATCCTTCAAGACTCATCCCTGCGAGATACCCTCAAGCCCGAAAAGAGCAACGATACCCTTAAGCTCTAAACCCGTTAGGATACACCTAAGCATTAAAACAGTTCAAGCTACCCTGAAGCTCTTAACCCTTCAAGAGGTTCTTAAGCCCTAAAGTGTTCAAAACACCCTGAACTGTTCCAGATACCAACCAACTTTATGCCCTCTGACATGTCCTTCAACCCTTCACCCAGCCCCAGCTTTAATCCAAGATCTCTTCGAAGCGCTGCATTCCGTAGACGACGTCTCCATCAGTGCTGTGGCCTCCGGATTTTCTAGAGGCCCGGCCTTAGCATCTGTTCAACAAAGGTGCAGGGTTTAGGGTTCCTTAAAGCACTTCGGGGTTGCTTGGAGGGGCAGGAGACGTAGTAAGTAGGGTATAAGTAGAGTTATAAGTACCCTAAATGGAGTTACCCCAATTGTAACCTTACTTATAACCGACTTACTAAGTCCCCTGCCTCTGCAAGTAGACTAAGTAGACCCTAAACCCTAAACCCCATCGATCCCTTTAAGGAACCCTATAGATCCCTTTCAGGAGCCCTTTAAGAACCCTTTCCATAGGGGTTTACGGTTTGAGAATTTTTGCGCAGGGCATCGAGGACAATTCGGCTGCTTGCTAAGGGTCCAGGTATCTCCTTAGGAGGGTCCGGAATCTCCTAAGGAGAGCCCTTGGGTCTCTTTGGGCTCTCAGAAATCCTACATTTTGAGGTTCCCTAAAGTGTTAGGACCCTGAGCGTGAAGTGTCGTTTGCTTCGTTTGGTTTGGGGTGCCATCGGATTTTGTAGGGGTTTGGGGTTTTGGGGCAAAGCCTGAATATCCTTATATGTAGTATACACTTCGACAATTAAAGGGATGCACCAGTATGGTAACTTCAGCCTCACTGCTTGGAAGGTAGAGGCTTGAATAATTGATATTATTCCTTGCGCCCGAAGCCTTTAGCGGCTAGCGGCACAGTTGAAGCTGTCGTATGCTTACGATATGGGAGTTTCCGCAAAAATAGGCGACTCTAATATAGTACCCGACATAGCAGGATCATTTTTATAAAGACCCGAAAATAAGGTACCCCGACTTTTCTGAAACTCCCCTGTAGGTCTCGGTACATGGAACCTTAGAGCACTTTGGGGCTTCGTCTCGGGGTGTCTGTACTCTTACCCTAAGGCTCCTAAGAAGGTTAGGGGCTTTGTGGGCGAGGGTTTGGGCTTTGGGGGCTACGGTTTAGGATCTCACTACGAGGGTCCAGGAGCATTAGGGTAGAGGATCTTGCCACTCCATGAGTGGATTGGAGTTCTCTTTGAGTTAGGTTGGGCGCTTTCCCCTGGGCATCAAAATAGCCCAAAAGCCTTGTACAATATGGTCTTTGGGCCCAAAAGCCTTAATACATGAGTCCTTAGATGCCTAGGGTTCTTAAGCAGTAAGGTCCTCGGAAGGTCCAAAGGACCTTGAGAGTCGGGTGCTTCCGTTTAGGGCAGTAAATTGGTAGGTAAGTGCGGCCTGCGAGTCTTTGGGACAGCATACTGTGGATGGACAAAATCCTGCATGACCCATTATAAGGAATACACCATAATTCCCATAGTTTAGGGTCCTTAAGGTCATGCAGGATTTTGTCCATCAACAGTAGTTAGGTACTTGGACCGCAAGTGGCCTCCCCTAAACCCTCATTAAAGCCTCCGGATCGGGGGTTTGAGGGTTTTTCGATGGAGATTAGCGGCTTGTAAGGCTCCGGACGATAGCGCCCCCGAAGCCCCGTTCTGAAGCACCTATAAGGGCTCCTTTAGTGGATCTATAAGGGTCAAGACTTTCAGGGTTTTGAGCTTTGGTTTTTAAGAACTACCAGGGCCCCCCCCAAGTCCCCTTTAGATAGATCCCTTTTGGTCCTAAACGGTGAGTATTAGGGGGTATAATGGAAGGCAGTTGGGCAGTTGTAGGTTAGGGTTGAAGGGTTCGGGGTTATGCACCCTGTCGGCTCCTCAGACCTCCCAAAAGCTCAGGAGGGAGCAGCCAGGGTGTAGATGCGATATGGGCTGTAGGGATGTTGCGGCATTCGTCTTGCCTGTGCATCCAGTATTATAGCCTTCTCGGGTCAGACCTTATATACTTATATACATGTGTGTATATATATATATACACACACATTGCCTAGTCATTTAGAAGGTTTGAAGTCCCGACTCCCGTATACGAGGCCACCAGTGGCCCAGCTCTATGTCACTGCTATCGGACATGCAGAGATCCTTGCTGCAGGCTTCCAACTGGGCCTTGTTTGAGTGTGCAGGGTCTTAACTGGTGTCTGCAGTGCCATACTTTGATTCTTTTTGGACCTGCTCCTTAAAGGAACCATTATTATGAAGTGAACGTCTACACTTTTTTCTCCCTAGCTATGCAGACGTACCACTGGTTCAAGGCACCGGTGGACGCGAATGACACGTAGGAGTGCCTCTCGAGAGGCACGCTGTCACGACAGGATGCGGACACGACGGACCGTGGTGGGCCTCTGCAACCATCTACAGTCATGTCGGGCGCCAACCGCTAAGGCTTTGATGCCGGTACCCGACACCTGGCTGCAGGCCAGATGTTTCACGGAGTGGGCGCGGGAGTATTTGGTCAAGCACCCTATCGACCAGAAACACTTGCTGGACCACTACGTCCGGCCCGTGAGACCGTCAGCGCGGACGGGTGGGGCAACGGCTTTCGGCAGGATCTGGAGATAAAGGCCCGTGAGACCGTCAGCGCGGACGGGTGGGGCAACGGCTTTCGGCAGGATCTGGAGATAAACGAGAAAGACAAGTGTTGGGCCGTCGGGGTAGCACAGAACTGCTACAAAGTCGACTGGCCGATCCATGGACGAACTCTCATGGGCGAGTCCCGAAGTCTTTTTTGCTTGCATAGACAGAGTCCACTTGCGGGGACGACCACCGAGGACTGGGCGGTGGCCGTGAACCAGTGATAGGCTATGACTTGACAAGGAAACCGTAGCGCATGCCCGCGGGTCACTGAGCATACTTTATAGACTTCGACGAACGAGCCGACCGGCTCTGCTACCGCGTCGTACACCAATGGTAAGGGGTCCTGGACAAAAAGCACGGTGCACTGTAACTTGCATCACGGCACGAGTGGAGCCGCTGAACTCGCCGACACGCATTCCATCAATCCCACAGCAACCCTTCAACCTCTTGCTGCCTACCTCTGACGAACTGGTACAACTATCCTATACAAACAAATGCATGTCAGGTGCAGGTAGCACGCCAATTGAACAGGACGCGACGACAGATGTTAATTATTGGAGATGTCGCGTCGGGTTGCCGGGTTGAACAGAACGCAGAAGGGGCCTTGCTACTACTTCAACGTCTATCCCTATGCCTCCAGGGACCTTATTATGGGGTCCTTAAGGGGGGCCCTAACTATGAGGTCCCTGGAGGGATAGGGTATAGTTAAGGTTGTAAGTAGGATTTCTAGCCTTGGAAGGTCGAGGGTCGTCGGGCTGCTCGAATTTGGGTTGCAGTCTGCGGACTGTGGGGATTCAGGAATGAGGTTTAGGGGTCAAGGGGCACTGTTCTTAGCAAGATGGTTGCATGGAGAGATACTGGGTTTCTACGAAGCCCGGTTTACCAGTCAATCCGGAAATATTGTTTCGACATAGCAGGGCTTAGCAAGTCTTGCGGTTTTGATAAGTACAAAGAAATCCCTGGTTAAACCTTAATCCCAAATAAGTCAAGAGGCATCGGATTTCGGGGTGGTGCACGGTTACTTACTTCGATGCGATTTGTGGGACTTGTGCGTGCTTGCTATGTTGTTTGAGCACTTGGGCTGCTTCTTCGGTAAAACCTGGGAATGTTACAATGACCCTCTAGTTAAGGGATCATAAGCTGCTATTTCGTTGGTTTTGGAGATACAGGCACCTACTGTTGGAGCACTTGGACCCTGTAGTTTGTGGATTTTCAAAGAGAAACATAGGGGCGCGCTGGCCGGCACCGCAATCTAAGCTCGATTGGTTGAGGCGTCACTTTCATGTTCATGTGGACCATAAACCTAAAGCACTCAATCCTAGGCTTTAAATCCAATCCTAAGCCCCAAATAATCTGAGCCATGTGTTTATTTGCTTGTCCATAGTTGGTCAGGGCTAAGAGCGTAAGAGCATCCTCTAAACCCTTAACCCCGAACCTGACAAAATGTTAAACCCTGCAGCCTCAACCCTAAACTCTTCAACACTGTGGCTCAATTTCTGCAGGGAGCGACAGCTGCCTTCAACGCTGCCTGGGATTGGGAGGAAGAGGTGCGCACTCGTCAGTCGGCCAATTGCGACACAACGAAGTTACACGTAGTTTAAGAGCTAACTTGTACATCCTCGAGTGTGGGTATGTGTTTGTCAGTCGGTCGGTCGGTCTGTCCCTCCGTGCTTATGTATGCCTTGATGCATCTATACATTCATTCGTTCATTTATTTATTTATATATTTATTTATTTATTTATGTATTGTCATGTCTTTCTTCAAGTCTGTGTGCGAGGCAGGGACATCGTAGCACGAAGCCCTAAACCTTGAACCCGTAAACGGTATCCTACTTTCCTCGGGCATTCTCGGGCCACACCTTCATAATCAGAATAGGGCATATATTATATCAAGGACGATTCGTTCACTAAAGTGTAAACCCCAAACCCTACACCCTGAAAGGTGGCCTGGAAGCGATCGCTGGAACTGCTGCGAACACTACGCGCTCAAAGTCTTCGCTGCTTTGCAAAAAAAAACCTGTGGATTTTTTCGGATCTAGGATTCACGGACATTCAGACATGATGCTTCATGGATTTTAGTACCGTCTTCTGGTACTTTGGCGTTTAGGGTTTGAGGTTAATGTTGAGGCGTGGGGTTTATACTTCACAGTAGCCGGGTTTTGAGTTGAGGCTTTGTACCACGGTTTAAGACTTGATTGATGATTGACGCAAGAAGGACCGGCAACCCCAAAATTCAGCAACAAGTCCCTTGGCAAAAAGACCACGCAAGATTGCCATACAACTATAAAATATAGAGTCCTGCATAATTACTTGTACCATAAAACATTCCCAAAACCCTATTCTAATTATTAAGGACCCTACATCAGACCCACTGTCCAGGGCTTGCCTGAACCCTTTGAAAACCTTCCTGTTTTCAGGACTTGTGATTTTGTGGAAAATGATTCACTTCTTTTATGGACTTATGAAAGGAAGTCGTAATCTAGGTAGGCTTTTGGGATGTCTTCATATGTTCCTTAACAGGGCTTCAGAGGATTTTCTTCATGAGTCTTTTTCAAAGGCTGTTGAAGAGCCAACTTAGCAATAAGCAGCCTTAAACACCTGCAGGTGTCCTCTTTCGGGTTTAGGGGTTTATCGGTTTGCTGTTTAGGGTCTAGGGTTTAGGCGTTCGGGGTGTAGGTTTTAGGCGTTCTGTGTTCAGGGTGTATAGGGTTTAGGGTGGGATCCAGGGCATTTCTGTTCAGGGATCCGAGGCAGGCAAGCCCAGATCTTCCAACACCCTTTGTGCACCCTTAGTTTAATAAAGAGTTAAATACTATGCGTACTGTATACCGTGCTGTATATTGAAGGGTCCTAATACATCCTAAGGTAGAACTCAGGAACATATTTTGAACTGCAGGGGCATTATTATCGTTATGGTTTGTCTAAGGCTTATAAGCTATCTGAGTAGTGCCCCCACTCTGTAACAGTAGGACGTTTGAAGCATATGCATAGCATGGTATCTTAGCCCTTTTAGAAGGAGGTGCATAACTATCCCTAAAGATATAAGGTTCGGGGAGCATTATTCAGTCACTTCCATTTGCCAGCCCTAAGGAACCTGATGATATATAAACCCGAATCCCTTATTATTGCACCTCAAGCCCCGAAGCCCTAAGCCCTTTCCTTGTGATGGATCTTTTCCTTCAAAAACCAGAAACCAAACACCTTGACTAGTGCACGCTGAACCCCTCTATGGACCCTTTGGGAGGACATCGCGCCTAAACCCTAGACCCTATAAGCCCTACACCCTAAACCCTATAACTCCTAAACCCCACACCCTAAACCCAATGTGCCCTGCACCCTAAACCCTATAAGCCCTAAACCTCAGGCCCTAAACCCTATATACCCTAAGCCCTAACCCTAGAACCCCTACACCTTAAACCCCAAGCCCTAAACCCGAAAAGCCCTAAGCCCAACACTCTAAACCCCAAGCCCTAAACCCTTCATGGACGCTTTGAGACACCCCCTCCCTGCTGCGCAAGAGGCGCCAGCGCTGCCTCGGCGGGTGCTTCCCTGCGAGCTTCCTTGCCGAGGCGTCGGTGTAGGGTTTCGGGTCTAGGGTTTAGGATTTAGAGTTTACGGTTTAGGGTTTAATTAGGGTTTAGGGTTTACTGTACGGCTTAGGGTTAGTTTAGGGTTTAGGGATTAAACTCGGGGTGCAGAGTTGGAGGCGTTTCGAGCCTTACTGGGCTCCATGAGTGAATCGTCCGAGGGATCCCAGCATGCAAATGTCGCACTGCTAGAGGCTTTTCTTCGTTTGTTGTAGGGCTTTTCGTGTTTCAGGGCTTGTATGGTTTGGGATTTATGTAGGGTTCGGGGGTTTGGTTTCCGGTTCAAGGTTGAGGAATTTTACGGCTTTTATAAGCACCTGCATCTGATATACTGCTTGTTGCTGATGAGCCCATGGCTTCACGGAGTGGGTCTAGGGCTTTCTGTATCGGTTGAGGTTATCTCAAAGAGACTTCCAGGCGCTCTGGAGTTGTACGGGGTTTTTATGGCTCAGAGGGATACAAACTGCAGAGACAATGGGCTGCAACCGCAAACACTAGTATGCAAAAGACACAATCCAGCTGCAAACCTATTGCTAAAAGCACTTGTCCAAAGCCCTCTGTGTAGCTGTAAGCATCTTATGAAGATACACCAAAGACAGGCTCTCACAGAGGAGCCAGCAAAAAAAGACACATCGAGCCTAAACTAGATTCTCTACGCTTGTCGACCTATCCATTATCCATGCTCAGAAAATGTATATGTATATACTTAGCAACCAGAACGGATGCATAAACCTATGTGTATGTATGTATATATACACACACCGACATAGCCAAGCCCCGACCATTGGAGTTCCCTGGCCTCCCCAAACTCAGCTTCCTGGTTCTGCGTGGAGCATGACTGGATTCTTGTTGCGGTCCTGAACTCCAGCTACCACAATAAGGAGTTCATGAAAACTTCTGTAAATTGGTGGTGTAATTGTGTTGTCACTGAGGTTGAAGTCCGAACAAGGGGTTCCCAGACGCCTACTAGAAAGCCCGGTTATCGAGGAACGACCACAAATGCTTCGCCGAGGCATGTAGCCGGTATATGCATACTAATATGATGTGTGTACGTACATGAACCTTTGGGAAAACCAGCGTGGTCGTGAAAGGTGGCCCACGTCGCTGTCCCTACTCGAGCAGTGGAGTACCAATGCTGTCCAAAGCATCGTGGCTGCAAATCCTTGTCTGAATTAGGGCTCAAACAGAATCTTAGTAGCCAAGGCCTTATCAATGTTTCTTTCTCGTCTTCATCATCTGATCATCAGCTGCGGGTTTATTTCGCCCAGGGCCACCATAGCAGACTTGAAAACAAGCACTTATGCATAAATCCTGGTGGGGACAATCAGGCTTGACATCAGCGAAAATCCTCCACATGCCTTGAGGGTCCATGTGCCCAAATTGTAGTTCCTCTCCTTTGGGTCAGTGTATTGTTTCATCATGGGATCATGACCGTACAATACATATGTAGGCTCTCTAAGAACAGCATTGCATCTCAGGGTCTAAGTACTCTTGTTGGTGATCTTCGGCGGCCTGCAAGCGTGCAGGCAACACCATCATGCTGAATTCGGCTATCGCTGCATGTGAACCTCGGCCTGGTTCGTATTTCCATGCCTCAGTTCTTAATTTGTCAGCTTCATTGGGCTTCCCTAACCCGTTCATACTACCACCTCAGCTTTATGATAGTGTTATGTAGGGTGTTGGTCTAGGGTCTTATAGGTCGCATGTAAACATCTGTTATGGAGTTTGGCTTCAATTATTGTCGATATTGGAACTTTTGGACGCAAGCGTGCACTATATGGCAGATCTTTATTTGAAGGTCCCTCTGTAGGTCCCCACAAAGTACGGCACCCTTACAAAGCTGGCTTTGGAAGGATCCTAATTTAGAGCGCTACCTATGTAGATCAAGAAGGCATTGGGTGAAGTGCGCAGGCCAGATGGATTATGCCCAACAGGGATCTTCTGAAACAACTTATTTTCAGGCAGTACAGTAAATTGTGTAAATAGTGTCGTTTCCCTTCTTCTGCTACGTATCTGAAATTGATCTCCTTAACCAGAACCCACATATGTGATGTTCAGCCGTTTGTACTGCGATGGTACCATCTTGCTGTCGTGAAGGCATTACAATTTTCCCGGGAAAGCAGACCATTTGGTGGTTGTTCTATCAAAAAGTCAGAGTCAAATCTCTCTAAGCAAGCCAGGTGTTGAGGATGCTGCTTGTATATCTTGATGACCCTGAGCCCTGTGTGGTTGGTGGCTTAAGGTCTAAGGTGTAACTGTGGGTCCAGTGGCTTACCTTTGGTTAGTAGGGAATGGAAGAATGGTAGTAATAGTACTTATAGTTGTACCCCATTCCTCCATTCCCTACTAACCAGAGTTAAGTTATGGGAATATTAAGCCCCCTATATTATAGTACATGCATGGATTGTATGGATTGCATTTTTTGAGTGTCAGTGTCGTCCGATGCAAGACATTGAGCATGATGGCGGTTGCTACTTGTCGCCGTCCCCAGCCGTCTCAATTCCTGCAACGCACCTGTAGCCCCTAGAGCTGCGTGACAAGCATGCTTTCCGCACGACGCAGGACCCTTAGCCCCGCTTCCCTTTCGTCACTCGGCGGCATGTCTGATGTGACAGTGGCTGCGCCGGTGACCGCGCCGGGCGTTGAAGTCCCAGTAGCCACCACGATGACCGCGCCGGGCGTTGAAGTCCCGGTAGCCACCATGATGACCGCGCCGGGCGTTGAAGTCCCAGTCCCGGTAGCCACCACGATGACCGCGCCGGGCGTTGAAGTCCCGGTAGCCACCACGATGGTCGCAGCCCTTATAGATCCCTTATAGTAACCCTTATAGACCCCTTTATAAGGCCCCCTCCATTCCCTACTAAGCAAAGGTAAGGTGGTGGAGTGCCTGTCTGTCTGCTTTGGTTCCGGCTAGCGGACGCGGGGACGCGAGATAAAGTCCGGAAAGCTGTTGGTAATATAGGGGCCTTAATAATTACCTATACTATTTTGGGCGGTTTTTTATTATAAGAATAATATAATGGGCCCCAAAACCCTATTCTAATTATTAAGGCCCCCTATATTATGGGATTTAGGAGTCCAGGTTCAGTGTGTGGGGTTTACGGGGCAGAGCCGACCGGGCCGAACACGTCAGCGTAGGAGAGCGCGAGTTATATCCTTCTTATCAGGCGACGGGACAAGAACTACCTTCATGGATTTCGGGTCTAGGGCTTCAGACACACTTAGCAGGATACTTGAGCCGAGAGCCCTTAGCTTTGATCTTACCTTTGGTTAGTAGGGCATGGAGGAATGGGGTACAATTACTACCATTCTTCCATAGTAGGGATCTATGATATAGGGGCGCCGCCATGAAGCTGTAGCTGCTGCACCAAATCCTGAGATTCCTGAACAATTTTCGTCAGAAGCCGGAACATTCATACCGAAGCCCAACCTCCAAAGAACACACATCCCTTATGGTAGCCCCACTAGCCACTTCTAACGGTAACTCGCCTTGGCGCAGTTATAGTATAATATACAACGAAACCCGATTCTAATGATCAGGGCCACTATCTTATAGCAGCCTTCTAGTAGCCCGTATAGATGCCTTTAAGGGAGCCCTTTAAAGGAGCCGTATTCTAACTCTTAAGGCCCCTACATTCCCGATCTTTGCAGCCCCTTAGAGGGCCTTACAGATCGGCTCCAAACCATAAACCCTACACCCCTAAACCCCAAACCCCTATAACCTATAGGGTTTAATGGTTTAAGGTTTAGGGGTCCCTTTTTGGGTCCCTAATATAATACGGCACCTAGTATTTAGGGTACCCAAAAAGAAAGGTTTAGTATAACAGTTTTCCGTGTCGTAAGCCTTGCAACCCCCTTGGTTTCCCAAAGGGTCCAAAGTACCTTTATGGTAGAATGTAGAGTTTCTATATGAGGAGTTATTATTATGAATTGGGGAAGTATCCCCCAGAATAGTAGAAACGGTTGATGATATAAATCCTGCATGACCTATTATAAGGAATATACCATAATTCCCATAGTTTAGGGTCCTTAAGGTCATGCAGGATTTTGTCCATCAACAGAAGGACCCTTTGGGTTTGGGATCGGCTCAGGGCTACTATAAGGGTACTATAAGGGTTCCTTCAAGGGCTCTATAAGGGTTTACGAAGTATCGGCCATAACAGTAGAAAGGACCCTTTGGGTTTGGGATCGGCTCAGGAGTCTTCTGGCCAGTGGCCCTTGGTTCTGGGGCTCCTGGAGGGGGCAAAGAAGCTCGCCTCTTGGATGATGGTTTAGGGTTTAGGGTCTAGGGTTTAGGATGATGGTTTAGAGTTTAGGGTTTAGGATGATGGTTTAGGGTTTAGAGTATAGGGTTTAGGGTTTAGGATGATGGATTTATTTCGCTTATTCGATTTAGTGCCTTGTTTGTTCTTTGTGTGTGTGGGGGGGGGGGGTCTGCCGTCCCAAAACTAAACCTACCTGGATCCCGACTACCTTTGTAAGGACTCGTAAAAGGAATCCCTTATCAGGAACACCGAAAAAGAGGTTTTCCAGGGTCCAGGTATGCCCTACTTGGAGGGTCGGGGGACTTATTAACTGGGTAGTAAGTAGACTTATAAGTACCCTAAAATGGATCGTAATTGTGGTTATGGTACTTATAACTCTACAAAATAACTACTTAGTAAATCCCCCGACCTCCAAGTATATTTTCAGTCTTGAGGACATGACCACCATCGCTTCTGCTCTTGCCGCTGAAGAGCGAGGCTGCCTGGAGTTTCCAAGTGTTTAGGCTCTGTCCCAAAAGGCTCCCAAGTGGCTGCATAGTTTGAAGTATAGGGATAAGACTTTTCCATAGAAGGAATAATTGCTTTTCCTCTTCTTCTTCTTCTTACTACTACTACTCCTACTACTACTACTACTACTACTACTACTACTACTACTACAACTACTACTACTACTACTACTACTACTACTACTACTACTACTACTACTACTACTACTACTACCACGACGACGACTACTACTACCACTACTATACCACTACTATACCACCACTACTACTACTACTACTACTACTACTACTACTACTACTACTACTACTACTACTACTACTACTACTTCTACTACTACTACTACTACTAGGCTTGCGCGCCTCCTGGCGCCTGGTAGTTTGGAGGTGTTCGAGGGTCAAAAGTATCGGTTTTTACAGGGTTTTGTGAAAATAGCAGTTTGGGTACGTTGTCAAAAACTACTTTGTTTTACTAATAGTTACAGTTTTGGATGACGATGATGATGCTAATGATGCTACTGATGATGATGATGATGATGAGAATGCCAACGATGTGCATGTTATCGGAAGCCAATATTAGGACTGAGGACTACGGCCACTAGTGCTACTACCTACTACTACTAGGCCTGCTAACACTGCTGCAGAACGACTCGTGCCTTCAGCCCAGTCGAACAAAAGGCCCCATAAAACGCTCCAAAGTACCGGCACTGCCAGTGTTTTTGGCAACAGGAAAACCATTGCGCTACTGTTAGTGCCACTGGTACTGGTACTGCTACTGCGACTGCTAGTGCCGCTGCTGCACTATTAGTGTACTGTGCTACTGCTACTGCTACTGCCACTGCCACCGTTACTGCTACTGCCAACACAGGAAAATCGAGCCACTGTGCGGGCCCCCCCGCCTGACGACCCCCCCGCACCAGTGGAAGAAAATGCTTGGAAAACACACGAAAATCGAGCCACACCGTGGGGATTGCGTTTTCGGCAAAAATCGCGGTTCAGCATGTCGTGATTGACACCCCCTCCAAACCCTCGAACAAAAGGCCCCATAAAACGCTCCAAAGTACCAGCACTGCCAGTGTTTTGGGCAACAAGAAAACCATTGCGGTCGACCATGTCGTTATTAACCCCCCCCCACCCCCCAACCCAAAACCTCCCCGAAACATTTGAAAACAGAGCAAAACACCAGGTGCCAGGAGGCGCGCATGGGTACTACTACTACTGCTACTGCTACTACTACTACTACTACTACTACTACTACTACTGCTACTACTGCTACTACTGCTACTGCTACTACGACTGCGACTGCGACTGCGACCACCACCACTACAACTGTTAGTACTAATTTTTGTTTGGGTAAGTATCCCGCATACCGGTACTTAGGATCTTTTGGGTGTTCGGGATTTGGGACTCCATTGGCCAGACGGCTCTGCTTGCGGTATACTTGGAGGGTCGGGGGACTTAGTAACTGGTTATTTTAGGGACTTATAAGTATCATAACCCCAATTAGGGTCCCTTTTAGGGTACTTATAAGTCTACTTACTACCTACTTACTAAGTCCCCTGACCCTCCAAGTAGGGAGATGTAAGTTTACGGTTTAGGGATTCCCCGTTAGTTAAACCGATAACGCTCAAACCCCAAACTACCCTCTAACATGCCCTAAATACCCACTGTTAAGGACCCAAGCTACCCTCCAATATGTCCTAGATGACTGCTATTACGGACCATAAGGGCTCCATTAAAGGGTTCCTGGAAAGCCCTAAACCCCCAAAAACCCTAAACCCTAAACCCCCAAACCCTAAACCCTATTATAAGTATAATATACCTCCAAACCCTATTCTGCCTCAAACCCCGAACCTGCCGAATCATCCCGGGGCCAGGTAGCCGCGCTGCAGAGGCCTCGAGCGAGACACGGAGATTTGGGAGTTTCCGAAAATTGGGGGCTTCCTTTAAAGCGATCCTTTAAGGGTTCCTTAAAGGGATCTATAAGGGTTCTATATAGGGTTTAGGGTTTGGGGTTTAGAGTTTCCGAAAGTTAGGGATACCTTAATTTTTGGGTCCTTGTAACAAGGATCCTACTGCTTAGGGTACTATATTAGGGTCCCCTATTTTCGGAAACTCCCATTTAGCTTGCTCATTGTAGTGATCCTACTACAGGGGCTTGGGGTTTAGTGAGTTTGGGGGGGCCCTACACACTGTATAGGGTGCATATTAGTGCTTCTATGAGGGTCCTTTCATTATGTTGAGATTCAGAGAATCGATTTTTGAGTACATGATGTAAGCGCTACGACATAGGGCCATGAGGCCTTACCTGGGCCCCAAAAGAATGTAGAATAATAGCCTTTTTATGGGTGTTGGGCCATAATTTTACGTACTTTTGGGGGTATAGGTAGGGACTCTTACTCTTACCTATAGTCTCCATTGCAGTTCCCTTTTTTGGGTTAGCCAAAATCTCTACTATAGGATCCTAACCATAAAACTGGTTAACCAAGAAAAGGAACTGCAATGGAGACTATACCCTAAGGCTCAAAACAGTCCAAAAGCCTCATACAGTATGGCCTTTTGACCCAAAAGCCCCAAAGTCCTTAGAGCCTAAGGGTAAAAGTACCCTTAGACTATCCCTTTAAAGTAACCCTTTACAGGCACCCTAAACCCTAAACCCTAAAAAGGAACCCCAAACCCTAAGCCCTTTAAAGGAACCCTAAACCCTAAACCCTTTAAAGGAACCCTAAACCTCGCTGAGTCTGTTTTTTCAAGAGTTCATCTCCGTTCAGCCCTAGGGCCAAGTCAAACACTACCGTAAGGGTCCAGGTATCTCCTTAGGTTTAGGGTTTAGGGTTTGGGGTTTAGGGTTTAAGGTGTAGGATTTAGGGGTTTTGGTGTAGGGTTTAGGGTCTAGGGTTTGGGGTTTAGGGTTCAGGGTATCTCCTTAGGAGGGTCCGGAATCTCCTAAGGAGAGCCCTTGGGTCTCTTTGGGGTCTCAGAAATCCTACATTTTGAGGTTCCCTAAAGTGTTAGGACCCTTAGGGTAGACAGGCCCTACGGGGTTCTGAAGATTCGGGGGTTTCAGGGCTTCGGGTTCTACTTACTTTGGTTATAAGGTTTAGGGTTTTGGGTTTAGGGTTATAGTAGGGAATGGAGGAATTCTTCCATGCTCTACTAACCAAAGGTAAGTACTAGGAGGTGGGAGTTTCCGAACATTGGGGGTACCTCTAAAGGGATCCTTTAAGGGTTCTCTAAAGGGATCTATAAAGGTTCTATATAGGGTTTAGGGTTTGGGGTCTAGAGTTTCCGAAAATTGGGGGTACCTCATTTCGGGGTCGTCATAGTATGGATCCTACTTTTTAGGGTACTATATTAGGTGCCCTATTTTCTCAAACTCCCAGGTTCATTGGTAGTTATAAGTGGGGTTATAAGTAGGGTAACTAAAATCACAATCCATCTTAGGGGACGTATATGTCCACATATAACCACCCATGAACCTCCAAGTACACCCTATAGCCTCTAAGCCTGAACAGCCTTGAACCCCCTTATAAGCCCTAAACCCATAAAGCCAACAACGCCGAAGCCGTATCTTGAATTTAAAACAGATCCTAAATCCCTGAAGCCCTACGCCTGTTTCCCCAAACCCTACAAACACCGAAGCCCTAGATTATAGAACCCTGAAGCCTTACACCCGTATCCCCAAACCCTACAAAATAGTAGGTTATGACTCCTTAATAAGAGGGTATATACCCTGAAAACTGTGGGTTTTTGTATCCCCAGGTCGACTCCCTTCGACTCCCCTAATACTTGGAGGGTCGGGGGGGACTTAGTAACTGGTAAGTAGACTTATAAGTACCCTAAAAGGGATCCTGATTGGGGTTATGGTACCTATAACTCTACAAAATAGCTACTTAGTAAGTCCCCCGACCCTCCAGGTAATAAGGCCCACACCCTTCTAGGCCTAGAGCCAAAACCCTGCACCCCCAAACTCGTGTCTCGAAGGCCTATGGTTTAGAGCTCAGGGCTTTCGGATCTCGGGCTTTCCGCTTTGGGGTTTGACAGTTTGCTGTGTCAGTGTTTAGTGTTTAAAGCTTTCGGGTTTTGGATAGTTTAGGGTTGGAATGTTTAGTGTTTTCGTGGTATAGTAGGATCCCTAACATGAGTTAGGGAACCTTAAATCGCGAACTCTGAGCTCAAAACCCCGAAAGCCCATGAACCCTTGGGCGAGGCCCAGGAACTCCTTGCAGAAGTGGGCCGAGAGGGGCTGCGGATCGTGGCGGAGCTGAGAAAATGAGCCGATCCTGGGGTTTCGGGCTTTAGGGACTTAAGGGTTCAGAGGCGTTCGGGCTTTACTTAAAGGATCATGGGACTTAGTAACTAGGGTTATAAATAAGGTAACTACACTTATAAATATTTATAACCCCAATTAGGGGACTTATAACCTTACCTACTAAGTCCCCTGATCCTCCAAGTACGGGTGTAAGGGTTAGGAGTTTAGGGGTTCAGGGCTTTAGGAGTTTAGAGGTTCAGGGCTTTAAGGGCTTAGGGGCTTAGGGTTCAGGGCTTTAGAGATTGGGGTGTTTACGACTATCTACCATAACCCTCTTGTCTGTAGAACTTTTAAGTTTTGATTGTGTTTCGAGGCTGTGTAACTAGGTTTCACTAGATTGAGGTAGAGAAGCCAAGGTACTCTGACGAGCGACATATGCTTTCAGTTTCTTGAGGAGCGCTACATTGCTTGCACTAGTTTGGCTTTCGAAGCTGGGCTAAACGTGTCGCCGGACTTGCTAGGCAGGTCATGCAGGGTCCGGAAGGGTGAGGTCTTAGTGAGCCTGATCACACCCGTGTCGAGGCTATCCCCATTGAGCCAGAAGCTTGCTTCTTGCTAAAGGGTTCATTTTCGTCACCATAATAAGGAAACCATAGTATTACGTAATATAGATCTCTAGTATGGTAACTTAGACTAATGAAAATTCCTGAACTTCAACCCAGAGAAGGATGAGCCGGGAATCCCCTGGTGCCTCCGAGTCGCGCTGTGGATGTCGTGGGCGGAACAGGGCAAGCCACGGCCCCTGCAGCTGAGCCAGCTCAGCCGAAACGCAGACATGTCTTCGAACCTGGTAAATGCAGAGCCTGCCAACTCAGGCAGAGTGCGGCTGCGTTCGGCCACGGCCTTGCAGACACTCATTTCGGCACTGTTGCCGCGGTTCTGAAACCCACCACAACATGTCTAGTCTAAGCCGTGGTGCTCGCATGCAAAGAGCTGGATGGCCCGCTGGATCGGCCAAGGCTGCAAGAACGAATTCTGGAGGAGCGGTTTGGCGGTAGGGTCGTTGGGGTTAGCTTACTTGTGACTTTAGCATAAGTCCGCGGATTCTTCACTGATCTTTCAAATGCGGGTGAGGGATTGTTCTGGGCTCCATAAACCCCATTGACAGACCTTCAACTCTAATCCCTTGTCCCTTGAAGCCTTAAATCGGTCCTAAGACGACGCAAAACGCCTCTCCTCGACAGGCTTGTGCCGTTGACTTGAGTATTCGGCTTTTCCGATAGATCCAGAGCCGTTGCTGGCGACCCTAAACCAATACGGCGGTTTAGGGTTAGGGCGGTTACGGTTCAGGGTTTAGTATTTCCGTGTAGGGTTTAGGATTTGAGTTTAGGTTAAGGGTTTCGGTTTAGGGTGCAGAGCTTTTGCATGGACTGTCCCTAAGCAAGTACTTGACATTGAGGACCATCTATTTGAAGCGTGCCGCGGAGCGGGCACGCAAATGCGCTTCAGTGTTTAGGGCAGCTTGCGGTTTTTGGTTCCGTCCGCCATAACCTGAAGCCCCAAACCAGTAAGCCGGCTGCTCCAAGTGGTTTACATGTTGCCCGCAGGCGTGCTTAAAAGCCAGAGAGAAACACGACATAATTAGCCAGAATGGTGTTGGGTTCAAGGCTCGGTGTGTGTGTATTATATATATACATATATATATACATACACAGATACATACACGTACGTACGTTATTTTCGAAATGTGTATACGTGTATATGTGTGTGTGTGCAAGTCTACGACACTGTGTGTGTATATATATATATATATATATATATATATATATATATGTGTGTGTGTAAGAATATACACGCACATGTTTATACATACATACATACATACATATATATATATATATATGTGTGTGTGTGTGTGTGTGTGCGAATCAGCGCCCACCCACATTCTTCGTTCACGTTGCACCTCTCATGTACTGTCGTGCACATGAACATATGCGAGCTGCGAGCATACAAGGCACAGCACACACAAACTTGGCTGACACAGACACCTCGACGCTCAACAAGAACACGCTTGTTTGAAGCTTGTTTGTCTCCGGCCGTTTAGTGTTCAGAGGTGTCAAAACCTGTTCAATTGCCCAACTCCTAAACACGCAAGTCTTGCAGAAGCCTGCGCCCAAAAGTTCGAATCCAGTCAATCCTTCATCCTCTCAAGCCTCAACCCTTTAAAACCCAAAGCTCTGAACTCGAAACCCCTGCAAACCCGCGCCTAGAGCTCACCGGCCTTTTCAGTTGCTTTGTTCGCCATGGGGCCTTCAGATGATTCGCAGAGCTCCTGCAACCGACAGCTCGAGGCAATAGTACAGTTACAGGGGCCGAAAAATTACCGAAACTATTTTGGGGCTCCTTTACTATAAGTATAGTATAATGGGCCCCAAGACCCTATTCTAACTGTTCAGGCCCCTATCTTAGTTGCTTGGATTGCGTGGTTGTCGAGTTCAAGCCGCTTTGGAAGTTTAGGGTGTGGTGTGCAGGGCTTGACGGGTCCCGGGCATCGGACTCAGCTCAAGCCTTATATTTGGGGGGCAGTATGACGTTTATACTTATAACCCCTGTATCATCACAAGATAAACATGCAGATTGTAGATATTGGTGCTTTAAGGTGTCTATACCCATATCTTCCAACTTCGCTCAACTAGTCCCGGTATATGATACAAGCAGTGTTCCTTCCTCGGGATAGGTTCGAACATCTCAGGAAGCCTAAATTCCTCAACCCGTAAACCTCTCTAGAGCCTTAATAATTAGACCAGGGTTTTGGGATATGTTTTAATGTTGGTAACTGCTTGGGCTTCAACATTACGGCACATCGAAACCCACCGTAAACCCTTAAACCCTAAGCCTGTAAAGCCTAAAAGATCATTCAGGGGGGTAATAGTTATTGATAGAGTCTTGAGCTGCGTTGTAGTATTGCCAGTTCATAGCCAGTTAGTCTTCTACAATATGACACCTCGAACCCACCCTGGGACCCTAAACCACTAGACCCTAAGCCCTTAAACCCTACACCCCAAACCCCGAAACCCTACCCTAAACCCTAAAGCCTACCTTAACCCTGAATAACCTACCTTTTTTAAGGGTTCCTTTTTTCACTATGATTTCCTGGTATATGTCCTTGACAAGGTAGGTCATTCCGGGTTAAGGGAAGCCTTAAACCGAGCCCGTATCCTCAACTCCGAAGCGCAGGCCGCGGCACAGGAAAGACGCCGTCGCCCAGCTGAATGCAGAGATCACCGCGGCCAGCCGAGGCCGGATGTAGGGGCCCTAACCCTTAGGCTCTAAGGACTCATATTTTAAGGCTTTTGGGCCCAAAGACCATACTATATAAGGTTTTTGGCCTATTTTGAGCCTTTGGGTGATGATTAGAATATGGTTTGGGTCTCCTTTATTGTACAACTGTAATAAAAAAAACTCAAAGAAGCAATGTTGGTCATTATTTAGGCTTCTAGAGTACTTGGCTTCATGTGGGATCTCTAGGGGTTCCATAAGGATTCGCTTTAAAGGACCGGGTTCCCTGAAGGGATCCGTAAGGGTTCCATAAGTGTTTAGGGTTTAGGGCTTAGGGCTTTTAGTCCAGAGATCTTAGGGCTTTGGGGTTTAGGGTTTAGGGTTTAGGGTTTTAGGGTTTAGGGTTTAGGGTTTAGGGTTTAGGGTTTAGGGTTTAGGGTTTAGGGTTTAGGGTTTAGGGGTTTAGGGTTTTAGGGGTACAGTTCTTGAACATAGAGAGCCATCGGGGTCTTCAGAGCAAGCAAGCAATTACTTGCGATCGATCTGGGCCCGTAACTTTCTGAGGCCTCTGCTTCTATCGGTTTAGGGTTTAGGGCTGGGCATTCACCGATATTCTTAACTGCTTTCGATACTGAGAACTAGGTTGCACCCGTGTGGTTTTCGGTCATAACCTACCCATAGTCTCCATTGTAGTTCCTTGTTTTGGTTTACCAGTTTTATGGTGAGGATCCTATAATAGAGGTTTTGGTTAACCAAAAAAAGGAACTACAATGGAGACTATAGGTAAGAGTAAGAGTCCCCTAAGCCACTAACCCCTAAGCCCTTAAACCCTACATGCCAAAACCCGAAACCCTACCCTAAACCCAACGCCTACGTCTCCAAGCTTGCCCGATCCGGTTGGTGCAGGCAAGAACTGGCGCCAAGCACTTCGCCTTTTTCAAGGTGCGGCTTGGACGTCGGGCCTTGATTGGGGATTTCGGTTCTGGGCTGTGGGGCCGGGCTAGCGGCCAGAATCGGCTAGAATATAACAGAGGCCAAAGTTTCGGGAGTATGAAGTATGAAGAAGCATCTTGGAAAGCAGTTTCAGCTTAGAGCGTATAGTTCTCCGAGGTTGCAGACGCATGGTTTCTGAAGGACCTCATGCCTACGTCCAACCATCGCTTGCCTCGATGAGTGACGATGACACGGGATCTCGCTGTCTAAGTTGCGTGCCTAAAGCCGTATGTATGTTCAAGGACTGGATTCTTCGCATTCCCATTCAGACGAGTCCAGGAGAGATCGATGGAGACATAGCGACGTGTGCGCAATATAGGGGCTGTAAAATTAGAATAGAGTTTAGGGACCCATTACACTATCACTACAAATAAGGAACAACCAAACTAGTATAGGAAATTCACCGTGCTGCTGTTGCTGCTGCTCCTCTTGCTCTTGTGCATATCATCGGAGCAGAGGCTGGCTACCCTTCCCACAAAGCTATAGGGGGCCTAAATAGTTATAGGTAACCTTGAAAACTTTTTGGGTAGTATAGCCCCTGTATAATCCCTATATACCCAAAAAGGTTAAGCTTTAGTTCCCCATGATACCCGACAAGTAGGGAAGGGTGTAGTACCTTGAGATCTCAATACCCCTTAATTCAGGTATATACCTTAAATCATAATATTAAGCCCCTTAAAGTTTAAGGTATATTCCTTAATGCCCTTATAGATCCATGGTACCCGACAAGCAGGATTGAGTCCTTTGAATTAAAGCCGATAAAATAGGGGTTATGATACTTAAAAGTCTATAAAACACCTACTTACCGTTGCTTCTGCGTTGAAGAAACCCCAGAACCCTAGACCCTAAACTACCCCTAAACCCCAAACCCCTAAACCCTAAACTACCCCTAAACCCTAAACCCTACCGCTAAACCCTAAACTACCCCTAAACCCTACACCCCTAATTCCTAAACTACCGCTAAACCCTAAACCCCTAAACCCCTAAACCCTAAATTACCCTTAACCCTACACCCCTAATTCCTAAACTACCCCTAAACCCTAAACCCCTAAACCCTAAACCACCCCTAAACCCTACACCCCTAATCACTAAACTATATACCCCTAAACCACTAAACCCTAAACCCCTAAACCCTTGATTCCTAAACTACCCCTAAACCCCTAAACCGCACACCCCTAATTCCTAAACTATATACCCCTAAACCCTAAACCCCTACACCCTAAACCCCTAAACCCCTAAACCCCTAATTCCTAAACTACCCCTAAACCCCTAAACCCTAAACCCCTAAACCCTAAACCCCTAAACCTTAAACCCCTAAACCCTAAACCCCTAAACCCTAAACCCCTAATTCCTAAACTACCCCTAAACCCTACACCCCTAAACCCTGAACTACCCCTAAACCCTAAACCCCTAAACCCCTAAACCCTAAACCCCTAACCCCTAAACCCCTAAACCCTAAACCCCTAACCGTTGAAGAAAGCTCAAAAAGGCTAAAATTAAGCCCCTCAAAGTGTCTAAAGTTTAAGGTATATTCCCTAATGCCCTTATAGATCCATGGTACCCGACAAGTAGGAAGAAACCTAAACCCTAAACCACCCCTAACCCCTAAACCCCTAAACCCCTAACCGTTGAAGACACCCCTAGATCCCTTATAGGAACCCTTAAAGAAACCCCTATAGATCCCTTAGGGCGAGCTCCGGGACGAGTAGGAAGAAACCTCAAAACCCTAGACCCTAAACTACCCCTAAACCCTAAACGCCTGAACTACCCCTAAACCCCTAAACCCTAAACCTCCAAACCCTAAACCCTATAGATCCCTTAGGGCGAGCTCCGGGACGAGTAGGAAGAAACCTCAAAACCCTAGACCCTAAACTACCCCTAAACCCTAAACCCCTAAACTACCCCTAAACCCCTAAACCCTAAAGTCTTCGCTGAGGGCTCGACAACCGCCACCGCGGAGCCCGAAGCGGCCCGAGCTTCGCGAGCGGCAGAAAACGCGTACGCGGAGCCTAGGTAAAGCTAGGCGACTGGCACCATGCATGCCGGCCCCTCGGGCACCTCCCACGGAGTGGTAAAGGTATAGACCCTAAACCCGGGGGTTTTTGCCCACACTCCCTTTCGACAAGGGTTTGACCCCCCAACCCTTCATGAACGGCAAATGGACAGGGGTTTGACCCCCCAACCCTTCACGAACGGCAAATGGACAAAGGGTTTGACCCCCCAACCCTTCATGAACGGCAAATGGACAAGGGTTTGACCCCCCCAACCCTTCATGAACGGCTCCCAAATGGACAAGGGTTTGACCCCCCAACCCTTCATGAACGGCAAATGGACAAGGGTTTGACCCCCCAACCCTTTATGAACGGCTCTCAAATGGACAAGGGTTTGACCCCCCTACCCTTCACGAACGGCAAATGGACAAGGGTTGGACCCCCCAACCCTTCACGACTTGGCGGGTGTTCCTTTCCAGGAAGTTGACAGCTGAATTTCTGTTACCAAATTCTGCTTATAAAATGTGCCATTTCATTAGGCTGTCGGCCGATCTCTGGGTTCCTCCTTTTTGGCCAGTTCCCAAATGGACAAGGGTTTGACCCCCCAACCCTTCATGAACGGCTCCCAAATGGACAAGGGTTTGACCCCCCAACCCTTCACGAACGGCAAATGGACAAGGGTTTGACCCCCCAACCCTTCATGAACGGCAAATGGACAGGGGTTTGACCCCCCCAACTCTTCATGAACGGCAAATGGACAAGGGTTTGACCCCCCAACCCTTCATGAACGGCTACCAAATGGACAAGGGTTTGACCCCCCAACCCTTCACGAACGGCAAATGGACAAGGGTTGGACCCACATGAGAACCCGCCAACACGGCCTCACAGAAAGCCCACATGAGAACCCGCCAACCCAGCCGCACAGAAAGCCCAATCCAGACAGAGACAGACTCACAGAAAGCCCGCATGCAGTGCTGCTTGTTTCTGCACAGTTCCCACTTCACAACAAGCCCAGTGCTTCTTCCGGCATTCGCCAGCACAGCCTCACAGAAAGCCCATTGCTTCTTCTGGCACCTGCCAGGACAGCCTCACAGAAAGCCCACATGAGAACCCGCCAACACAGCCTCGCAGAAAGCCCAATCCAGACAGGGACAGACTCACAGAAAGCCCACATGAGAACCCGCCAACACAGCCTCACAGAAAGCCCACGCCAGACAGGGACAGCCTCACAGAAAGCCGTCATGCAGTGCTGCCTGTTTCTGCACAGTTCCCACTTCACAGAAAGCCCACTGCTTCACTTCCGGCACCCGCCATGGCAGCCTCACAGAAAGCCCACATGAGAACCCGCCAACACAGCCTCACAGAAAGCCCACGCCAGACAGGGACAGACTCCCAGAAAGCCGACATGCAGTGCTGCTCGTTTCTGCACAATTCCCGTCACTATAGCCTCACAGAAAGTCCACTGCATTTTCCGGCACCTGCCATGACAGCCTTACAGAACGTCTGCATAACAATCCAACCGCGCAGCCTCACCGAAAGCTTAATCCAAAGAAGGGGGCAGCCTCACAGGAAGCCCACAGGCTGTGCTGCTTTCGATCGTGCCTGGGCCCCACTGAGAGTAACGGCTTCCGTCGGTGATGTCCAAGCCCCCGCTGGGATGCCTAGAAGACTTTAGAACTAAACCCTAAAATGCTTGAACTCAGGGTGGTCTTGGGGTGGGCTGTCTGCTACGCACAAGTGCGAGCGGCCTGGGTGTGCACACACCAGCGAGCACCCATGACGTTACCACACCCCTAAACCCTAAACCCTATAGATCCCTTAGGGCGAGCTCCGGGACGAGTAGGAGGAAACCTCAAAACCCTAGACCCTAAACTACCCCTAAACCCTAAACCCCTAAACTACCCCTAAACCCCTAAACCCTAAACCCCTAAACCCTAAACCCTATAGATCCCTTAGGGCGAGCTCCGGGACGAGTAGGAGGAAACCTCAAAACCCTAGACCCTAAACTACCCCTAAACCCTAAACCCCTAAACTACCCCTAAACCCCTAAACCCTAAACCCCTAAACCCTAAACCCTATAGATCCCTTAGGGCGAGCTCCGGGACGAGTAGGAGGAAACCTCAAAACCCTAGACCCTAAACTACCCCTAAACCCTAAACCCCTAAACTACCCCTAAACCCCTAAACCCTAAACCCCTAAACCCTAAACCCTATAGATCCCTTAGGGCGAGCTCCGGGACGAGTAGGAAGAAACCTCAAGAAGGCTTCGAGGCGAGAAGCCTTCGAGCCGATGGGATCTCTTACACGGCTGTCGGCAGCTGAGCCGGTGGGATTCTAAAGTCTTTAGGGCCTCATATATATATATATATATATGGTTCCTTAAAGGGATCTATAAGGGTTCTATAATTCTATAAAGGGTTGAGGGATTAGGGTTTAGGGAGTTTCCGAAAATAAGGGACCCTGATTTAGTACCCTATACAGTAGGATCCTTATTATAAGGACCCCAAAATAAGGTACCCCTCATATTCGGAAACTCCCATATATATATATATATATGTCTATATTTATAATGGAGATTCTGCTTCTTTGACATTATAGGACTTGTAGGGTTAATCTAGATTTTGTAGGGTTTCTAAGCTTGATACTGGGCTTTGGGATAGGTTGTCTGGGGAAACGTTCACAGAGGGTTTTAGCACGTGCTTGTGGTTCGCTGAAGCTTCGTGGGTAAGGAATTCATTTGTAAGGTTTCGTGCCGGTGTGGGGCGTGTCTTTTCCGACCGGCACATTGCAGAAGAGTTCATATTATGATATATACCTAGGCCATACACCTTAAGTCCCCATTCAGGCAGATCTGTCGGATCTATGTGCGGCAGATGTGGTCGGAATTTAAGTCTGGGCCGGAGGTGCGTGGCACGCGGGGTAGAGGGCCTGACTATACTTGGAAGGGGGTGGGACTTAGGAAGTAGGTTATAAGCAATTAGACTTATAAGTACCCTGAATGGAGTTACCCCAATTATACCCCCTAATTACTTTTAGACGACTTACTAAGTCGCCTGCCCCTCCAAGTAGGGTTCTGGAGGTAAGGAGTCGTGTGGCGTTCGGGGGCTGGTTTCCTGCTTGTTTCTTTGTGTTCCTGCTTACTTGGAGGGGCAGGGGACTTAGTAAGTAGGTTATAAGTAGGGTTATAATTGGGGTAACTCCATTTAGGGTACTTATAACTTTACTTACTAAGTCCCCTGCCCTTCCAAGTATCTCCATGAGCGCAGCATCGGGCTGTCAAAGGAATTGAAGCTCGCAGGATTCGTCGGTAAGCCATGTTGTCGATTGCACAAGGTCCGGTGACCGTGCTCCCAACTTCGCAAAGTAAGTGGCAGAAAGGGCTTCAGGAATTGACTCGAGGATCTCGTTGTCCGGATACCTGGATGCTGTGCGATGTCTTGAAGAACACGCCGAAGCCTCGGTGGCCGGCGGCGATTCAACTGCTGAGTCTCTCGTCGCAGAAAGGCTTGGTCCCAAGTGTGTTCTCACACACCGCAGCGATGGGAGTTTGTCAGAGAGGGAGTGGCTGGCGGGAGGCTTTTCAGGTCTTTGCCCAGATGCCTGTGCTCAGGGTCTCTGCAAACACTGTCACCCAGAACTCTTCCATCAGCTCCTTTGAAGCGCGCTTCCAGTGGCAACAGTCGCTTCTGCTTCTCTTCAGCACGTCCATCACTGCTGTCCGGCCCGATGAGATATCCTTCAATGCTGCGACTACTGCGTGTGTGAAGGGCAGGCAGTGGAAAGCCTCGATGCAGTTGCAGCAGGACAGGGCCGGGAGAAGTGTACTGCCGGATGCGATCAGCTTCAACGCCACCATCGCTGCAACTGAGGAAGACGAACTCTGGGAACGGGCTCTTGATCTTCTCCTGGAAATGTCAGAGCGCGAAGTTGTGCCAACTGTCATTTCCTTCAATTCCGCAATCAGCTCCTGTCCTTGGCAAGCCTCCCTACGGCTACTTCCTGAGATGACACTAGCAAGAGAGAGCCCGGATGTGGTCAGCATCAACTCTTCCATCAGCTCCTGTGCAGAGGCTTCTGAATGGCAGGAGACGCTCCACTTGTTGTCCGACTTGCCTGCTTTACGCATCAGCTGTGAGTCTGGCTGAGCAGGTAAAGTTTGAATTTGGAACGTTTTGGTGCTTTTAGCTTATGAAGTTATAAAGATTCTGTGGAAGCTTGTACCTTAACTATCCCTGTTTGAAGATGCACTGTCAGGTATTTTCGCCGATGAACATCAGACCATAGCCCCAAGCTCCTAAGCCTCAACCCATAGCCCCTAATCCCCAAGCCTTAAGCACTAGGCCCTAAACAGCTAAGGACATATAAAACTAAAACCTTGTACACCCCTCCTAGACAGGATGTTTTGGCCGATGAACCCGGTGCCATAACTCTTACCTCCGAAACTCTTAGCCCTAATCGAAGACTCTATGCAGCGCTACTAAAAGGAACCCCCAAAAAGCAAATGGTGCCCTAAACCCCGAAACGCTAAACCCCTAAACCCCTAAACCCCTAAGAGAAACGACATGGTGGTCTAAACCCCGAAACCATAACCCCAAAACCCCAAAACCCTAAACCCCCTCAACCCCCAAGAAGAAAGGACATGGTGCCCTAAACCCCGAACCCCTAAACCCCAAAACCCCTAAACCCCTAAAGCCCCCAGAGAAAGGACATGGTGGTCTACACCGCCGCCATCGCGGCAGCGGAGAAGGCCCACCACTGGCAGATGGCTCTTTGCCTCCTCGAACAGATGCTCCAAAGGCGGCGTTGGAGTCGAACAGCATTTTGTAAGGGTTCTTTGAAGGGTTCAATAAGGGATCGATCATAGGGTTCTATGAGATCTTTAGGGCTTTAGGGGCCTTAATTATCCCTAAGGGTCCATATACCCACATGGTATCTACTGTAGGCCCAAGGCGGCCTTAGATCATAGGAGGCCAAAACGGGTTTGAGCCTATGGGGGTTGAGTAGGGATCAGGGTTCCCATAATAGGGTTCATATGAAGGAATCCCTACCCCAAGTATCTTAACCCCCCCCTTGGCCTCCTATAGAGCCCAAAAGCATTGCTTTGAGGAGCGATGAGAGATTCTTCAACGTACTTTAAGGGCTCCTTTCAGGGCTCGTTTATGGGTTCCATTAAGGGTTCCTTTTCGCATTGCTCCTTGAACGGGGCTTGGTAGTTGTAGGGCCGTTTGGCCCCTTAGGCCTATGGCTAGGGTTCACATGCACAGACTTTTGGGGTCCAGGTGGGAGTTTCCGAAAATAGGGGACCCTAATATGGTACCCTAAATAGTAGGATCCTTATTATAAGGACCGCAAAATCAGGTACACCTAATGTTCGGAAACTCCCTGGTAGGGTTTTGGGGAAGGCAGCTTGGCCTGGACGTCTACACCTGCAGCGCCGCCATCAGCGCTTGCGAAGCACAGGGACGCTGGCGGGAAGCAGTGTCGAGATGGCACTTGGGATACTGTGGATGGACAATATCCTGCATGACCCAATATAAGGAATATGCCATAATTCCCATAGTTTAGGGTCCTTAAGGTCATGCAGGATTTTGTCCATCAGCAGTAGTGGTGACCCTTCGGGATTTCAGGTTCTGGGCTTGATGGTTCTGTTACCCTATGGCTCAAAATCGCCCAAAAGCCTTATATAGTATGGTCTTTGGGCCCAAAAGCCTTAAAATATGAGTCCTTAGAGCCTATAAGGGTTACGGAGGCACCCAGGCTCAACCCTGTGTAAATGGCACTTTGGGAAGTGGTGACGGTTCAGGTTTTCCGGGAGGTTCGGGCTGTATGCTTTTGTTATAAGGCATCTAAGTTAACTCATTTCAACTTGAAAGAAAACCACAAACCTACCTAAGCCCTAAACATGTCATTCTAAAGCAGATATGGGGGTTTCCGAAAATAGGGGACCCTACTATAGTATCCTATACGGTAGGATCCTTAGTATAAGGACCCCAAAACCTGGTACCTCTAATTTTCGTAAACTCCCATATGTTTGGGGCGCGAAAGCCTTAGGTGCTGCTTCTCTCCTCCATGCGCAGCTGGCGCAGCCAGCCGAACGTGGTCAGTTTCAGTGCCGCTCTCAGTGCCTGTGAGAAGGCTGGAAAGTGGGCATTGGCTTTCGAAATCTTGGAAGACACTCGGCGGCAATGGCAAAATTTCGAAATCTAATTAGACTCATTAGGGTGCTTGGGCAAGTTGTTATGCATTTACACGGGGATATGGGGGACATGATTTGGGGAAACCTTAGGGGTTAAAAGTTTGAGGTTTCCTGTCGTGCCAAGGAAATGCAAGAGAGCAGTGTGGCACCAAACACGATCACCTACAATGCCGTCCTTTCTGCCATCGAGAAGTCTGGACAGTGGGAGTTGGCCTTTCAGCTTCTCTTTGACATTCCGGAGCCGAGTGCGTCTTGGTAGTGTTGGAATTGCGTACTGCGATCATACTAGTTGAGGCGAGCCGCAAACCCTAAATCCCAAAGACAAAACTTGCAGGTTCAAACGACTTCGAAACACTGTAAGCCCCAAATCCTACAAGCCTTAAACCCTAAACCCTATAAGCCTCTAAACCCTGAACCCTAAAGCCCAAGTCCCTCAGGGTACCCTATGGCTTCAGTGATATATAACCTTAGTAACCTGCTATTTTACGTAACTGTAGCTTTAGGGTCAAAGGATCTTAAAGACCGGACCTTTAAAGAGCCCCTAAAGGATCCCTATAACCCTAAACCCTAAACCCTAAACCCTAAACCCTAAACCCTAAACCCTATAAGGATCCCTATAAGGGATCCCTAAACCCTGAACCCGGAAGCCGAAGTCCCTTTAAGTAAGCAAAGGCTATCAGCTTCACAGCGGCTTTAGCCGCCTGCGAATCTCAGAGTGCCTGGGAGTCGCTTCGATGCCTTTCTTACCCTAAGGCTCTAAGGACTCATATTTCAAATCTTTTGGCCCCAAAGACCATACTATATAAGGCTGTTGGGCTATTTTGAGCCTTAGGGTTAGGGTCCAAAAGGACCCGATAGGTAGGGGGTTTTTACAAGGTTCTGAAAAGGGATCTATAAGAGTCCTAGGGTTTAAGGTTCTAGGGTCTATAAGGGTTTAGGTAGGGTGTAGGGGTTTTGGGTTTCCGGTTTGGGGTCTCGGCATATATTTGTGTTTTACTTAAGGGTCCAAATAGTCACCATCGAGGGACTTGGAGGCTTTTTTTGGATAAATAAGGCATACTTGGACCCTTAGGGTTTTGCATAAGCATCGGTGTATATATAGCTATATACACATACTTATGTGTATATGTCTGTAGATAAATACATATATATATAGATAGGTTAAGGGATGCGGGTTCTGCGGTGTTGAAACTGTACACTCTTCTACATGGTTTTGGTGGTGTTTAAAACAATCTTTTTGCACTGTGTGATTGTTATCAAAATTTTTCAGGCACTAGTTTGCCCGCTAAGACCTGAGACGGGACCCAATAACTGTGTTTTCAAGGAATTTAATTTAGTTGCCAGAATGGGGATCTATGGCAAATAATATGGTTTCCTGAATATGGCTACTCAACTTATATTCCTTAACAAGAGCCCAGATAAAGGTCAGAGTCCTCTACGTGGACAGCTATGATCCCACAAGGCATCGGAAATTCCTCGACGGAAAGCGCTAGACCCATATAATGTAAAGAAGCTTCAATAACACAGCAATGACAATATAGTGATGTCATTATATAGTATTACTATTCCTTATGAATGTGAGGTTTTTTGGCGAAGAATATACCCCGCCCTTGTATTAAGGTCCGCCCTTTGGCTGCTATCGACTCGAATGCCTGAGTCCAGGATTGCTCCCAGTGCCTGGGAACGGACTTATGACTATGAGCCGTAAGCATCGCCTTTGAATTTGAGCAGTAATCCCAAGCCCTAAACCCTAAACCCTAAACCCTAAACCCCAAGCCCTTATCCCTGAACCCTTGCAGTAGCCCTTATAGTGGCCCTCGTGGGTCTCGGGTTAGGGTTTAGGGGTTTAGGGTTCAAGGTTTAGGATTTAGGGTTTAGGATTTAGGGTTCAGGGTCTTGCGTCTCTCTTTGCCCAGCTGCTTGTCGGCTTCGCTTTTGTAGGCCTGCGTGTTGTTGGGGATACTTGGAGGGTCGGGGGACTTATTAACTAGTTAGTTTAGGGATTTATATGTACCATAACCCCAATTAGGGTCCTTTTTAGGGTACTTATAAGTCTACTTACTACCTACTTACTAAGTCCCCCGACCCTCCAAGTAGGGCTTCTGGGCTCTTGCGCTTTGTGAGCCTCTGGCGGCTGTGTAGGAGTTGGGGATCCGTGTTCATCCAAGTGTTAGCCCTAAGGGTCCAAAGGACCCAATAATAAGGTACTTAGGTTTAGGATAGCAGTTATGCAGCTTTACATTTGGGAGAGTATATGATTATTAGGTACTCGGACCCTTAGGGTAGGGTTTAGGGTTTATAGGGTTCAGGGTTTAGGGTTTAGGGTTCTGTACAAGGAAGCTTCAGTGCCTCATTGATTGTACAGAAGGGACGTCTGTACGTGAGTTTGCCCTAGAGAACCGTGGTGAAGATCAGATCGGTATTCTAAATGCGCTTCTGTGTGCACTGCGACCTTCCACCCCAAGCCCCGACATGCCCCTGCAAGGTGTGTTAAGCTACGCCGCCGTGGAGGTGTGTTGCGAGGACAGCTACTGCCCTCGCCAAGTCGCCGAGCTGCTGTCAGAGGTCCGAGCTACTGCGGCTGAGACGCTTTTCCGGGCCTGGTCTTAGCCCTGCACTCCCCAATCTAGGTAGGGCTTTGGGACATTTTGTATTTTCTCTTATTGGGCTTAAGAGGATCTTATTTACTAATATTTTTCAAAAGCTTTAAAAACCCACCTAGCAATGTAAGGGCCTTAATAATTAGAATGGGGTTTTGAGGTTTCCTTTTTATAGTTCTAGTATAAGTATCCCCAAACCTTATTCTACTGATTAAGGCCCCTACATTAACCGGGTGCAAGGACCATGAGGGATAGCATTTCTAGAGCTGTGCCGACCCCGATATGCCAGCTCTTGGTGTGAGTTTTGGGCTCAGGGCATATATTGACTTCTAGGATTAGGGCTTGACGTTGCAAGCCCGAAGAGAGTAGTAACTCCAAGGTTAGCTTGGTTGAGTTCATTATACTTGTAAGTGTGCAGGCTATATAACTCAGGGGGTTTAGTATTGTTATGCAAGCTCCGGAACATTTCGAACAGCACGCGCGGTTGAGAGTCGCTTGTTGGCAGGGACGTGTGTACAGATACTGTATGTTGTAGGTGCGAAAGCAAGACCCGCCAAAGAAGCAGTTTGCTTCGGCAGATAAGAGGCGGCTTTTCAGTTCTTGAGTGCACCAGTGCGAATTCGAGAAGAGCTCGAGGAGCTCGCCAACGTGGGAATGCTTGCGAGGGAAGAACCACACGAGACTTGCAGCAAGTGCCAGGTAATTAGTCTAGAAATAGGGCAGCCCTGTCTGGCGTAATTACTTAAAACCCTACATGTAATGTAACCTAGGTAACAGTACGAATATCATGAAGCCCCTTGACGCCCCACGCAGCCACAACGCTGAACCTACCCCAAAAATCCAAAGGACCCAATAATCAGGTACTCGGTTTTAGGATAGTAGTTATGTAGCTCAGGTTTTTGGAGAGTATATGGGTGGTTGTCCAAATTATGGTCCCGTTCTGGTACCCCAAATATTAGGTGCCGTACTATATTCGGGACCCCAAAAAGGGACCATAATTTTGACAACCACCCATATGATCGTTGGGTAGTTGGACCCTAAACCCTAAACCCCATAGATCCCTTTAAGGAACCCTATAGATCCCTTTAAGGAACCCTATAGATCCCTTTACGGAACCCTATAGATCCCTTTAAGGAACCCTATAGATCCCTTTAAGGAACCCTATAGATCCCTTTACGGAACCCTATAGATCCCTTTAAGGAACCCTATAGATCCCTTTAAGGAGCCCTTTAAGAATCCTTACTAAGTCCCCTAAAGCCCCTCCAAGTAGATGCAGCCCTGGCCCTGAAGCCGAGTCACTCAACGGCAACCCAGACCTTCGGGAGGATCTAGAAAGTTAGGGTCTTAGGGTTTAGGGTTTTAGGGGTTAAGGTAGTTTAGGGTTTTATATTAGGGTTTAGGGTTTTAGGGTTTTGGGTTTAGGTTTTAGGATCTAGAAAGTAGATCCCCGAATTTGGGGCCCTCTACTACTAAGGGTACTTTATAGGAACCCCCAGTAAGGGATCTACTTTTTGGATCCTCCCGGGGGTCTGGGAACCGAGTCCGACCCCCTGAACTGAAACCCCTCAGCCCGAAGAGCCCCAAATCGGTTTCCGAAAAAAATAGGGGACCCTAATATAGTACCCTAAATAGTAGGGTCCTATTCTAACGGTTGATGATATAAATCCTGCATTACCCATAATAAGGAATGTACCATAATTCCCATATTTTAGGGTCTTTAAGGTAATGCAGGATTCATATCATCAACCGTAGGGATCCCATCATACTTTCAACCTGGACTTCGGGAAAGGGGCACTATAACCCTAAGGGTCCGAGTACCTAATAATCATATACTCTCTCAAATGTAAAGCTGCATAACTGCTATCCTAAACCCAAGTACCTTATTATTGGGTCCTTTGGACCCTTAGGGTAAGGGCCGCTTAATTTGCTGAGCTATGGTTGATGATATACATCCATTACCTTACTGAGCCAAGACCAAGGGAACTATGGTATATTCCTTATGGTGAATCAACTGTATGAAGAAGATCGGCGTAGTGATAAGACTTGCACTAAGCATGACAACACAGGAATACATGCAGCTTGTAGGCATCTTCTGCTCAAGGGTAGCTTGCGGAGTACGGCAGTATTACTACTTCTATCAGCATCAACCTTTGTTGCTCTTCGTTATCAGCATATTGCTTTCACGATTTTCATTTGATTTGCACGATTGTTAGTAGGATTGTTTTCCCAATAAGTATTGCTGCTTACTCGACTTAGTTTTTGTGTATTGCTGCGAGGTGTTGGGTTTGGGGACCCCAAGCCCTGATCATATTGTAAGCCGTAGTGTTTTCCCTTAGTCTTACAGCCCTGAACACTGCAAGCTCCAAGACGTGATACTGTTGATGGAACGGCATCAAGCCTAAACTACTAAACCCTTAAACCCTGAATCCCTAAAGCCCTAAACCCTCAACACCTAAACCCAAATCCGCCGACATGGAAGCCGCAGCTCTGCGGCTGCCCGGAGCTTTCAGAGCCGCCTGTGACCAGAACGACTGGAAGGTTGCCCTCCAACTACTGGAGGACCTGCTATGGTTGGGGGGGGGCTGAACATAATTACATAGGCTATAACTATAGTAGTCATATAGTACTATTACTATGGTCTCATTGACTTATTAATCATGGGTGATAACTAAAGTAACTATAGCTTTGTTTGTTTCTGGTGGTTTCCTGGTATGTGTTTTATACTTTCAGCTGCCCTTGTAATCTCTGTTGTGTGAGTGTCCATGTGTGTTTATTGTCAACAAGGCTTTTACAAATGGTTGAGCGACTTGGTTTTTGGGAATCAGTGGCCTACGATGACTTGTAACATGGCTTGGGGGACGCTTGAGTTGAGGGTTTGAGTCGAGACGCTTTCGGCTAGAGTTGAGGGTTCGGGGTTTTTGAGGGGTGTGCTCAAGGCGCAGCTTCGTATTTTGGGCAGCATGTGATTATTGGGCTTTCTAGGTACGTGAGCGTAGAGTTAAGGGTTCCTCGTAATGCAGATGTCATTTAACTGATACCCCAGGTCTGGGTTTCAGTGTCTTTCGGTTTACGGTTTAGGGCTTATAGGGTCGAGCTTAGGGTTGGATTTAAGGGGTAGAGAGTAGCCAAAAAAGAACAAAATGACGGGCACAAGTTCCTCTTTGAAAGTAGCTTCACTTCTCTAGCGCAATCCTGTGAGACCTGTATCCGCCACAGTCTTAGAAAGCCCTGTATGAAGCCGTCATATAGACTGTCTTGAAGACCATGTACCGCCCTAAACGGACGGGGATTTGGGCCCTCTCTAAACCCTATAAACTCTAAACCCTTAAGCCCTAAACCCCTAAACGCTGAACCCTTAAACCCCTGAAACCTAAACCCCTAAACCCCCCTAAACCCCCTGAACCCCTAAACCCCCTCACCCCCCAAAGCCCCCTAACACCCCAAACCCCTGAACCCCTCTTATCATGAAGGCCAATAAGGTAGGGATATCTTCCTAAAATGAATATGCTTATGTCCTCTTTTGGGCCCCTAATGTCAGGGGATGGGCTTGATTTCTCGGGATACCTAAACCCGCTGGAAACATGGCTTTCTCTAAACCCCTAAACCCCCAAAACCCCTAAAACCCCTAAACCCCTAAACCCTGGCCCGCCAAACCCCCCTAAACCCCTAACCCCCCTAAACCCCTAAACCCTACCTGGACTTTAAGGAACCTACCTTTTTAGGGCCCCCCTAATATGATTTCTTTATATAAGTCCCTAAAAAGGTAGGTTCTTTGGGGTTAAGGTAGGCTCTACTCAGGACCTGCCTCCGCCCGGAAATCCGAGACTGGAACGTGGAGTCATCGATTGCTGCGCGAGGGCGCGGCAGTGGCAGATGGCACTTCAGGTCTTGTTGCTTGGTCGTTGTGGCTTTTAGTATCTTTGGAACCTGAGCATGCAATGCTTAGGACGGTTTGTTCGCAAGGTTGCGTGTTGAGTTACTTGGTTGTTTCGGCTTTTTTGTGGACCTCAAGCTACCTACATAGTAGGTTACTAAGCATATATCATATTCCCCAGTGACCTACTATTGGTAACTGGAGCCCTCGGGTTATAGTTGTTTTAGGGCTTAGGGTTTAGGGTTTAGGGTTTAGGGTGTTTTTTCGTAAGATTGAGTGTTGAGCTGGAGATGACAGCGGAGAAGTGTCTCTTCGTAGGTCTAGTGTCTGTAGGGCTAGAAGTTCAGGGTGTAGGACGTTCGTTTTAGGGCCTTGGGATTCAGAGTTTAGATACCTTGCAGTTGTGGTTTAGGGTCTGTTCACTTCGTTTCCCTAAGGGTCCATGTACCCATATAGAGATACCTGAGCCCCAAAGTACCTATATAGGGACTACATTAAGGCCAATGTATATACTATATGAGTACATGGACCCTTAGGGTGTTTCACCCCGACAGACTGGGCCAGTCAGGCTTGGAATCTTCGTGGCCAACTCGGTGCCAAACGTGTTCAGCTTCACTGCTGCCATCACAGCATGTGAGAAGCTTACCTGGGCCCGAAGGAACCTACCTTTTTAGGGCCCCCTAATATGATTTCTTTATATAAAACCCTAAAAAGGTAGGTTATTTGGGGTTAAAGTAGTAGCTGAGTGGATACACTGTACACTTTTTGGGAGAATATTACCCACCATAAAACTGAAAGTGTACACTTTTTTGGGTTTATGAACTCGGCAACTAAGGAAGGGCTCGCAGTGGCAGTTCTCGCTCGGACTCTTATCCATGATGACGTCGGTCAGCACTCCACCGAACGCTTTCAGCTTTAATGCGACCATCACTGCCTGTGGCAGGTGCGAGGAATGGCAAAGAGCCCTGTCTTTGTTGGCGCAGATGCCCGCTGCAGGAGTTGAACCGGACCGGGTCAGCATCAACGCAAGCATCAGTGCCTGTGAGAAGTCCAGCCTATGGCAAATTGCATCGTGTTTGCTGCAGCAGATGACTGAAGATCGACTGAGGCCCGGCAATACCACCTTTAACTCCACC